CCTATTCAGCACAAATAAAAATTTAATAATAGCAAATCGATTTTTTAATCTTTATAACTATAATAAAATTCTCATCACATCTAATCTCTGTCTAACCCAGATATGAACTAAAGTCAACCAAACTTTTAAAGGGTAAGTAAAAAGGGCCCAAGACTCCATCCTATATCCAGTAAAAGAAAAAAATCTAATTCCTCTCACTTCCTTGCTTACCCTTTTAAGAATCCTCTCCCTTTGGGTTCCTCCCCTTCCCAAAATCAATGGCCATTATAATTCACCAGATGTTTACAGAGAGCCTATTATATGGCTGTCCCGCAGTGGGAATGCTATGTGAACAAGACAGAAGCAGCCGCTCCCACGTTACAGTTCGGTGAAGATGACAGGCTTCAAACAGAGATGCTCACACCCTCTGGGGCTCACAGAGCAACAAAAACAGAGGCAGAGGCTTAAAATCAGTCCCTTTAAGGAAAAGAAAGCTACAGGACATGATTATTCTACTGAAAGGACTGGAAACATCATTCTGAGTATCCCAAATTCTTATCTAGGGACCACCCCTGCCGCCCCACCCCAGACACTGCCTGTTACATCTATACTCTGGGTAAGAACAGTGAGAACAGTACCTCATGTGGGACTTCACATCCAGCAACTCCAGGGCCGTGACCCGAGGCTCCCCAGCCAGGTTTTGCAAGATCTTCAGCCTTGGCCCGCAGTGCTTGTAGAACTCAGTGCAAATATTCAGCAGGGACTCCCGGGGTCTTCTGAACTCCTCCCGGGCAATTCGCTCATCCAGCTCCTCTCTGGGCAGGCCTTGCCCCTCCTCCAGCAAGTGAAGGTTTTCCCTGGGAAATTACAAAAGGTTAACTGGGGGCCTGGGAAGGTGTGTGTACGGCAACTCTGAGAGGAGAGCTTCCCATGGAAGAAAAAGGTAAGATTCCTTATATAACAGCTAATGAATCAGGGCGGGGCTTGGAGAGACCCACATCTCAAAGTTTATCATCCTAGAAGGAATTATCATCCCAAGTTGTAGTGGTGCTTTACATTAGCAATTCCTGAGGATTTACCCAGAAAAAGAGTGCCATGCGATAATTATATGAAATCTAACAGAATCATAACCCAGCTCAAAGGCAATCATCATAAGATGTCAGAATGGATATGAAATTAGGGTTGTCTTTCTGTACCTGATAAAGTGCAGTTTGGCGCTTTGTTCCTGGTACCTGGGAGTCAGAAACACAGTCTGCATTACTATCAGAGCAAGAAAAGAGGCTGGACTTTTTCTTAGGAGAAGCCATTAAAACTATACATTTTGATAAACTCACAAATATAACCATACAAATCCTAAAATATACAATCTTGATCTTTCATTTGCTGCCACATATGGTGCAATTATAGCTGCTTTGAAAGCTGTTCCATTGGCATGAAATCCATGGAAAGACAGATATTATAAAAACACATTCAAAGTCAAGAAATGTGGTCAATAAGGGAATTTTTAAAAACTTTGAAAGTAAAGTGAATCTAAGTTACAGTTTTAATACCACATGCTTTGAAGGTGATCAGAGGAAGAAATATGGCTGACTTCCTCTCATTTGTGGAGATATATTGCTTTGTAGGACTTTAGGAACCTTCTTTTCCCATAGGCCTTATATCCAGTAGTTGAACCTAGCCCCTAAATATCACTTAGAGTATATAATCATTTTTTCTCAATATAAGAAAATGAGGCATGAGTTCACCATCATATCTGATAACTTATAGTTCAGATTGGAATTTGTTTTATTTTTAATATCTCTCTCTATAAAAAGCCAGAGACTGGAATGCCATAACAATCTGAACTATGACGCCCACTGCCGCCAGTGAAACGGCCGGATAGAGGGATGGGATAGAGGGATGGGGCTGGCGGCCAACCTCCTGCAGTCCCTCCCCCTGGCTGGCCCCGCCCCCGATGGGCCCCCACCACCCCGTTTGGCCCGCAGACAGCTCCGTCCCTGATCGGCAGCCCCCACCCTATTCGGGTCCTGTGGTCCCTCCCCCCAGCCGGCCTGGCCCTGATCACCTGATCAGGATGGCCGGCCAACCTCCTGCCATCTCCTCCTCCTGATAGGCCTGGCTCTGATCTGCCTATTGGGGCCGGGCCAGCCAGACCCCACCCGTGCACGAATTTGTGCACTTGGACTCTAATAAATATATATGATGAGCAGAAAATTAATTTCACATAAAATAATAATACACACTTAAAAATGTGCTTCAGAGAGTCTGGAAAATTAATTTCTTTTTAAGAGCTCCTGCTAACTATTTCATACTAAGAAGAAAGAACTTTCTCTAAAACTGATTTTGGGTTTGCCCTATTTTAATTTTTCCTTAGAGGAAGAAGCTTATTAAACTCTGTGTGTGCATGTGCGTGAGTGTGTGTGTGTGTGTGTGTGTGTGTGTGTGTGTGTGACTATTTAGAGGTTAACACAGACAGAATGATGCAGGCAGAGTATTAACTAGGAGAGCCAGTGTCTGAGTTACACCAAAACAGGGAAGGAGATTAAGTCAATGACCCTGAAAGCATCACCAAAGGACCTAGGTCAGTTTGGATAAAATATCTGTGGAAATTTGTCCAGATGAAAGAAAACTGACTCTTCATACCTGCCCCGGAATGAAGAACCACCTCCGGATGATTATTGTTTTATTTGCTTTTTTCTTGGAAATGAAACAACACTGGAATAGTTCAAAGACCACCCAGGAGGCAGAGAACATCTTCATGTTCATGCAAATACACTGACACAAATGCCAATGTATGAAAGGGGCTTGGGGTTCTCTTTGGTTATTTCAAATGAAGCCTTGATACTTTCTTGAACTCCAAACTCTCACCTTCCTTTTTATTTCCTTGGAAGGAGATTTTTGCACTTAACATTGACTATTTTCAGGATTCCTTTCATGCCCAACAGTGGAGATTCAGGTTGTATGAAATGGAGATACCATGGAAGAATAAGGCTAGTGAATTACCTGGTGTTCACCCCAGACGACATGGTGTGATTGGCTGTGGTGGCGCCTTTATGACCTTGGTCACACCTGCTCATCTGTGGGGCTGTCATGGGCCTGCAAGGACAGTAACCACCACAACAAAACAACAGCAACAACAGAAGTGGAAACATTTATGAAATCTTCAAGTTATTGAAGCTCACATAAGTTTTAAGTTAGAGTCTCAAAGAGACAGGCTATCTAGCTTTGGGCTCTTCTGTCACCCTTTTGCTGTCTTTGTTCTGAGAGATACTTTAAAAGGCACATTACTTCCCAAGGATCTGTAAGCTCACCATGATTTAAGTTCTTCCACTTGAAATGAGGAACATCTGTAATAGTGTCACAACAATAAAAGTTTTTCCACTTGGTTCTGAGTAATAAACTGACTCCTCAAACCAGACATGTATGAAATCAGGTTTCTAAATCTGTATTAATCAAGAGTTAAGAGCACATTTTTCAATTCTACAGGTACCAGGACGTTAACCATTCTAAATAATAAGTAAAAAGTAAAAATTTATATACCATTTTGACCACCAACACCATAATTAACCACTCTATTTTTGTGAGGAACTACCAAAGAATGAAAGAATAGTTCTAAACAAAATCATGCCTAAGACTACTCAGGGAAGTAGGTAAATTAGTATCTATTATAAGTCAGCAACTTAGACACTTAGAAGTAGATTTGAGTCATCTAATTTGGTATCTGCAGGGTTCACTTTAAGGATTAGGTAAACTCTGCCTCTCTATCAGCAACTGAGACATGGAAGGGATGGCACAGTTTTTCAAAAACAATTTCTTGTGGGAACTGGTTCAGGCTTGCTGTTCTGATGCTCATTTTCCGCATGCTGGGTGTGGCCAGAAAGCGAGTTGCCTTTCAACAATCACCCCAGACCTTCTCCTCCTGGGCCTTTGTTGTGAGAGGTAGGATTTAAAAATGAGAAGCAACATTTACAGACTCACTCCGAGTGTTACTCCAGTGACTATGTTACCTTATATGACCAAAAGGCGATGATCTGGTAGGCCTATTCTCACCACACCAGCCTTAAACAGCAGAGTTTTCTCTGGCAGAAAGATTTGATGCATGAGGATTCATGGTGCCCTTGCTGGTGGGAGCACAGAGGGGGCCAGGTGAGAAAAATGCAGGTGATTCTTAAAGCAGAGAGAGGCCGGCAGGCAGAAAACAAAAGGGATCTCAGACCTAGAGCTGCCTGATGTGGATTCTGCCCCCAGAACCTTCAGATAAGAACCCAGACTGACTACCATCTTGATTTTGGCCTTGTGAGACCCTGAGCAAAGAGAACAGCTGAGCCTGCCCTGACTTCTGGCCTCAGAAATATGAGATAATAAATGTGTTTTGTCCTCAGCCTCTAGCTTGTGGTAATGCATTACACAACAATAGAAAACTAGTGCTATTATAATTGTCATATACTTGTTTATGTGTTACCAGCTCTATAACTTAATTTTTTTCATGAGTAAAGAAATTAGGAGTGTGGAAATGAAATGAGGTTCTTATTATCTTCTTTTTGTAAAAACAACAAAGCCATTCTTTTGTGTGTGAATAATTATAACCAGTCAATGAGGCTGGTTTTACACTCCAGCAACAATTATTAAAAGCACCGGTTTATTTAAAGTCATAGAATGTTAAATGTCAGACTTCCATCCATAATTCTTCGTGGAATTTTGGGTAAGTCAATGTTAATTTCGGGTGAATCAGTAATTTAATTGACTTATCAAAGAGAACAGAAAGGAGGAAAGCACCACCATTGCAGAATATAAGGAGAAACAACTGAAATGTCACTTGGGGAAAACTGACTGCGCTTCTCTCCTCTACTTGCAGGGAGGCGCTGTTGCCATAACCACATGGCGCAGAAAGGAGAGTGTAAGTCTGATATTTCTTCTTCAGATGCTCTTCCTCCTGGGATTTTTCTGAAACCGTCACCAAAGCCTGAGGACTATTGCCCATTGGACTGGGCAGTTTGCCTGGGTTCTCTGCTCCACTGCTTCCCATTTCTTCAGTTTATCAGCGGTTCTCAACCTGTGGGTTGAGACCCCTTTGGCGGTCGAACGACCCTTTCACAGGGGTCGTATAAGACCATCCTGCATATCAGATATTTACATTACGATTCATAACAGTAGCAACATTACAGTTATGAAGTAGCAACGAAAATAATTTTATGGTTGGGTCACAACATGAGGAACTGTATTTAAAGGGCCAGACGGTTGAGAACCACTGGTTTAGATGCATATGAGCACTTTGGCAGTGATAGCCCACCCAAGGCTTTTGGGTTACATTCTGTTTGCTTAGGTTGCCGATGTAGCTCATGATAAGAACCTACACATATATTGACTTAATTAGTCACAATCTCACTCCTTCTCTCACTGGCTGGTGCATGTGGAAAAGTCCTCCCAGGACTGAGGGATTTCGGCTAGCTCTGTCATCAACAGAGCAAGATGGGGCTGGGAAGTTGGTGCCTTTCGGTGCGGGTAAATCATAGACAGAATTTTAGGCTAAGGATGCGGCCAAATGGGACGGAGGAGCAAAGATACCGACCCAGGAAGAAGGTTTCCCATCTCCAGTCGGGGGAAGAATACCCCCTTCCATCTAATTGTAGACGGCAGTGGAGAAGGAAAGCCAATGTTTTGTAGAGTGTTCTGCATCTACCTTCCCCACTCCTCTCACTCAATCTTTTGTCTCTGTTCCAATCCCTCCCGCCCCTCCCCCCTTACCAGTCTTTCAATGCCTTCTGCACCCAAGAATCTGGTGATATACTAATTTCTTGCAACTTTGTTTAGGGCTGACCTCTGGTGACAATTTACCTTTCAAGTCCCAAATCTCTCAGCCCCTTCTCTCAGCACTACTGAGTCTTGTCCCATAGAGAATCTGTTAATTATGGCATTGAAATAAAATTTTGCAAATTATGTTTGTTATGTAGTTTTAAAAATTATAGTAAAAGCAACTCATTATAAATAGTAAAATAATAAAAGAATGCTTAGTTGGAATTGCAGACATTTTCATAAAATAAGAGCCAATAAAAATGTTGATCACATTTTCATATTCACTAAATTGGCCCTTTTACAAAAGATTTGTTTAGCATTGGTTAAAACTGCCATAGATGCTCATCAAACTACAGGCAAATGTGTGTTTAGAAATCATGGTACAACAACAACAACAATAATAATAGTGCTTAGCACTATTTATTCAAACAACTTAGGGATATTTGCAGTTTTAAGCCATAAGGACTGAATTTGAGCAGATATAAAGACTGGTTTCAGAAATTTTTTAGCCATCACATTTTTTTCCTCATCTTTTTGGTAGATACATATAATTTAAAGTTGTGGATATTTCTTTTCTTTAAATATATGTTTATGGATTTCAGAGAGGAAGGGAGAGGGGGAGAGAGATAGAAACATCAATGATGAAAGAGAATCATTGATTGGTTGCCTCCTGCATGCTCCCTACTGGGGATGGAGCCTGAAACCCGGCCTTGTGCCCTTGACCAGAATAGAACCCGGGACACTTCAGTCCACAGGCCGAAGCTCTATCCACTGAGCCAAACCGGCTAGGGCCAGGCTGTGGATATTTCTGCTGATGGGATTACCTGGTGAGGACCTCTACACTGTAGAGAAGGGCCTGGAGGGATGTCGCAAGAGCAGCTGTGGCAGCAATCTCCTCTCGGGCAGCAGGTACTGTCTCCACCTGTGATGTCTGCCTCTTTAGCTTTTGTAGGTAACATGGGACTAAAGCTTCCAAGACCATCAGCATCTGAAGACTATGTCAACAGAAAGGAAACCAGGTCATATTTCACATCCTACTTTTGTTGGTTGTATCATATTTAAAAGCATGGAGAAAGGAAGACAAACACCGAAATTTAACTTGGGAAAACTGGTAGAAATAATGACCAAAGATTTTATATTCTTGCTCTTAATGTGACAGTTTTCATTGCTTCTTTTTTTGTTGTTAATCCTCACCCGAGGATATTTTTTTCATTGATTTTTAGAAAGAGTGGGAGGGGGAGAGACAGAGAGAAATATCGAGAGACACATTGATTGGTTGCTTCCCACAGATTGGGGATCCAACCTGTAACCGAGGTATATGCCCCTGACCAGAATCGAACCTGGGACCCTTCATCCCACAGGTTGATGCTCTAATCACTGAGGAGACTGGCTAGGGCTTCATTGCTTCTTGAAAGGAGTTTTATTAAATAGATTAAATGTCTATTCTAAAATTATATTAGCTGTTAATTTATTAGATGTGAACATAGTCTCTAAACAAGACTAAACATCTTAGCTGCTGCACAAATTCTAATATAGGGAATTCCAAATTAATGAAGATTTACTATATTTTCCAGAACCTCGGCTATGACTAGTTTCCCAAATTTAGTTTTTGAAAACTTACCTGGCAGAAGGTTACAGGCTGATATTACGCATTCAATTTCATTTCCTTTGCCATATTTACTTATCACAGAATAAAGGGCTGCAGTTACCTTCTGAACGATTCCGGAGCATATGCCACCACCGTGACACAGAGCTTAATGGCCTCACTTATGGAGAAAGTCAGGTCTTCATTTCCATAGCAGAAATCTGAAGGGACAGAAGGTGAAGGCGTACAATCAGAGTGGATTCTGCCAGGAAATAAGAACAGCTTATCACTCTAACATTTTCTTTCCAGTTAGCTTTTGCAGCCATTTCTTCATCAGACTTTATTCCTAAACTGTGAGCACTATTAATTTCTTCATCAAAAGTGACTAAAAATTCTATTGTTTTTTAAAACTTTTAAATAATAAGATGACAAATAAAAGCGCCTTTTGGGAGAAGTTTTTTAAAAAGCTCACTTACTAGAAGATATGTTTGGATGGCCTAAAGTCAGACATGCCTTCTAACAAACAGGATAATAAAAGGCCCTTTTGGGGGGTTATTCCCTTAGAATTGCCCAAGAACACCCCATTTTCTGAGAAGTACAGTGCTCGAATAGTGGTTCACTCAGCATCATTATGATACAGTTTTCATGGCAGAGAATTCCTTACTCTTTAGGATTGACAAGAAATGTAAGAAAAACAGGAGATAGGAAAATGTACTCATTCAATTTACACCACTGTTCCATTTATTTTTGCTGTTTTGAGTTAGTTCAAAATATTCAACATAGAGTTATTATTTTAAGAAAAATTACTAAGAGAAAAAAAATGTCAAGACGAATTTTGCTTCTACCTAAAGACTTCAGCGGCTTCTCAGCCTTGACCAGCTCTAAGATATCTAAGATGTCCGTGGTCTCGCCCTCCAGGGACTGCAGCAAGTCAAACAGGCACTGAGCTGACACACCTTTGCTGGACCCAGTATTGGCAGCATCCTGTATAAAGAAAGGCAATTTTAGTTTATTTAATTCCACCTCAGTACGAATATGGTTTGACCAGGAAACCAAATTTCATAAACACTACTGTTGATAACAATCACAACACTGAACCGGTATTCAGTTTACATGATTCTGCACCCAACAATGCTGCTGTGTGACCATGGAGTGGAACACCTGAGTTTTAACGCTAGCCTGGTACAAAAGAGATATTTGTGGAAACTCATAAAAATACAGTATAATGTCAACTGCTGGAAAACATCATGCCAATGGCCCCTCTCATCTGCAATTGTAGGATTCAGCATTTGCAAAGGCAAATTTGTAATGGGGTAATTGAACAGTTCAACTACGTTTGGGGTAACATATTTAATAGCTCTGGGAATTTTACAAATCCTATTTGCTAACATCGCTCCAAAATGGAGATACGTAACATCTCATATCTGTCTTATTTGTTTGATTCCTTTATTAAAATAACAATTCCTTATTAAATTCCTACTTTGTGCTAGACACCATTCTGTGCACTAAGGTTATGGCAAAACAAAAGCAAAAAAACCCATATACTCGAAACAAAAGCTAAAAACAAACCAAAAAAAAAAAAGACAAGGGTCTTGTTTTAATGGAGCTTAATTCTATTGTGGGTGTGGTAGAGATCCATATCACTTAAACAAAGATGTGTAAGGGATGTGATCTATATAAATGCGCTGGAGAAAATGAATAAGTCAGGTGTGCCAGAGAATAGAAAGGAAGTAGAATCAGGAACTCTTCCTTTTATCATTTTATATTTTCCATCCTTTCATTAACTGAGTATGAAAAAACTGCAGAGTTGGCCTATTTATATCTAGGGGCTGAGGTGAGGGTTGAAGAGAAATGTTGAACAGAAATGAGTTTCTTGTGGAAAGAGAAATGATGTATAGCATTCATATCCCACTGGTTGAAGAAAGAGAGCTGAGAGACTGATTATACAAAGATCAATGGCCAGGCCATACATAACAATAGAACTGCTGATCCCCAAACTGCAGTAACCTGCCCAGGAAACCAACCCAAACCCACTGTCCACAGACACCAGCCCAGGACACCAGCATGCAATCCATCAGACTTGTTGGAAATCAGGGTACTAGCTCTAGTGGAAACCAAACAATAATCCCTATAACTATAAACCCCCAAACAGACAGGACTTGATTAATAGTTAATCCTTGTCTCGCTCCCAATTTAAGACCAATCAGAGAAAACCAAATATGCACCCCTAACCAATCACATAGGATGCCCTGTGTCTACTCTGCCCACTTACAGCTTTGCCAGGCCAACAGCCTCCAATCAGAACATACCCGAAGCCTTCCCTCTTCTCCCTATAAAGTTTTCTCTCTCCTCTGTCTGCCTTTGAGTCTCTGCCAAAACCTGAGTGATGGTGGGTGATGCCCTCGCTACAGCAAGCTGTGAATAAAGAGCTTTTCTCGTTTGCTTGATCTTCGTTGATTTCCAGAGTTTACTCACCGGGAACTCCAGCAGCGGGGCCACACTAGCAAACAGCTGGAGCACAAAGGGCTTCCGGTGGAGAATGTAGAACTGGTGGCAGGCAAACTCGATGGCTTGGCGCAACTGGGGGTTGCTTTCATAATCAGAGTACACCTGTGGGAAGATGCCACACGGTCAGAAAATGCCTCATCGCCATGGGGAACAGGGAGGGAAATGGGTCATTTCAACTGGTGGAGGGGAGGTAAATGGTATAACCTTCCTTCAGAGAAATTGGGTAATATACATAGAAATCCTAAAAATATATAAATAAACTTTTTCCCCAGGAAGTTTGTGACTAGGAACTTATCTTAAGAGAGTTGGACAAATGTACAAAGGTGTATATACAAGAATGTCCACTGCAAGGTTTCTTATAACAGTGGAAAATTTGAAACTTAAATTACTCATAAATTGGGGTTAGTTAGGTGAATTATGGCATGTGTATACAACAGAATATTATGCAGTTATTTTTTAAATGCTATACTACTAAATGTAGCTACATGGAAAAAAATATCCATGGTGTTCTTAGTCTTAAATGAAAAAGGTAGGTAACAAACTTGAATATATGATATGATTCAACTTTTGTTTTTTAAAAAAAGGCAGGATAGAGTGCCAGGGTCTTCAAGAAGTGGAAACAATGGTCATGTGGGAAGGAGGATTATAAGTGATCTTTATTTTCTTCTTTAAGTTTTTCTTTATCTTCTCTATTTTATAATGAGCCTTTATTGTTTTTAGTAATCAGTACAAAAGTTATAAGAAGAGAGAAAATTCCAACTATTTAAAAACAGGTCAGAGAGCCCTGGTGATATTGAAAGTAAATTTCCTGCCCTGGTAGGTTGAGGAAATTTTATTTTGCATGAGCATGTAATACTTTCAAAACTTTTATGAAAAATTCCACAAAATTAGAGAACGAGGATGATCCCCCAGCCTTATCTGAACTTTATTCAGTACTCCTGACGTGGCCAGATACACATCAGACGTGCGTAAACAGAAAGTCCTCCTGCTAATAAATTCACCACCATCAGCCTCTTTATACCAAATGTAATGGCAATGAAAATCTCTGTCCCGAGAGAAGTTAGAGACTTTCTCAAAGAAATATCAGCTGAACACTTGCCATACATTGGAATAATGGTTCTCATTCTAAGGTATCAGAACCACCTGGAGATCCTATTAAAACTGGATTACTGGGCCCCGACTCCAAAGTTTCTGATGCAGCAGGTCTGGGATGGGTCCCAAAATGTGCATTTCTAACAGATTTCCAGGTGATGCTGGTACTGCTGGTCCCGAGACCATACTTTGCGAATCACAGGCCCAGAAGAAATGGGGAAGCATATTCCAGGTCTGGGGGATCTCAGCAGAGGATAGAATATTGTGACCTCTTAGAAAATTTTAGGGGGAGTTCATTTGGTGCTTTCTGCTATCACAAAAGAAGAGAACTCTATCATTAAAAAATTTCAGTATAGCCCTAGCTGGTTGGTTCAGTGGATAGAGCGTCAGTGTGCTGACTAAAGGGTCACAGGTTCAATTCTGGTCAAGGGCACATGCTCCGGTTGCAGGCTCGATCCCCAGTAGGGGGTGTGTAAGAGGAGCCAATCAATGATTCTCTCTCATCATTGGTGTTTCTATGTCTCTCTCCCTCTCCCTTCCTCTCTGAAATCCATAAAAATATATTTTAAAAAAATTCAGTATAGATCCTGTAGACCTGCTGATGAGCAGTACTCGGGCTAATTCTCTGGCTGGGAGAGGAGACCCCGGCACCTGCAGCATGGTGGGCAGAATCCACTGGTAGCCGCTGAGGGAGAAGAGGTGGTTGAAGTGCACAGCGCTGTTGATGACGGTGGCCGCGTACTGCCTGAGCAGGGCGCTGTCTTCTGGGTGCAGGATCAGAGCCCCGTTAAAAACGTTGAGGAAGAGCATGATTTCATCTCCCCAGGGAAACTCGCTGGGCATGCCCAGGAACATCTCCTCCAGGAGCTGGATCCACAAGCTCTTCTGAAGAGTGTCCAGGCCAAACAGCTCCTTCCCAGCTGTGAGAACAGAAAAGCAGACACAGAATTAGCCCCACGCAGACCCTGTGGGCGTGGGAGGGCCATCCAACCCGAGGGCACTGCTGTTTCCCATGTGTTCCAACTCCGGGATGTGGCAATCTACTGCCGAAAGGCTTCCCAGCACAGTATTGCTGGCATTCACGTGACACTTCCTGGCTCTCAAAGGCCTCTCAGCATCACCTCTTTGATGCAACTCTGTGGGCAGACAGGGGAGACATTTGCAGCGGGTTGCTGCTGAGTAAGCTGTGGCTTTGAGAGAAGTTATTTCAGAAAGAAAATGGCAGGGTTGGGACCACTGCTTGGTCTTTTAATTTCTGGTCAGACTGGAGTTCTTTCCACGGTCGCTTTGCTCTGTCTCGAAGACACTGAGCATAAGTCTGCTCATTTCAGTAAACTGTCCCAAATGAACAACTGAGCAACACGGCGAGGTTTCAAAGTGCACCTCTTTCTGTTTCCTGTCTCTGTTTCTCTCTCTTTCTCAATTCAGCTATAATTTAGAGAGAATGAAATGCACAGATCTTACAGAGTTGAATGAGTTTTCACAAAAATACACACTTAAGTACCCACCACCCCAATCAAGACCATTTCAGGACCTCAGAAAGTCTCTTTATGCCTCTTTCCAGGAAATTCGCTCCCCCAACCCGAGGCCACCACTGTCCTGCTCTCTGTCATGAGAGAACAGTTTTCCTCCTCCTGAGCTTCTTATAAATACCTATTCTTCACTTCGTCAACCTAACAACATCAGAGGACTTCCTTCAGCTGCTTAGACCTAGCTTGGAGCAGTGGTCTCCAAGTTTGGTTCCCAGAATAGCATCATCATCATTACCTGGGAACTTATCAGAAATGCAAGTTCCCAGGCCCCATTTCAGAGCCACTGAGTCAGAAACTTGATGGTGGAGGGTGGGGCCCAGCAACCTGTGTTTGATCAAGTCCTGCCAGTGATTCGGAGGCAGTCAGGGCTGAGAACCCCTGGCTTACAGAACTGTCCGCTGATGGAGATGCCCTCCAGCCACGGGCTAAACAAGGGCATGAGACAACCGAGAGAGATGCTTTTGTCTGGATACCTTGAGGATCGCTGAAGAGTGAAAACTCAGCATCGATAGCACTGCGAGGGAATGAGGGCAGTCGGAGGAGGTCTTCCTGCAGCATGGAGACGTGGGACTGTTTGTGGGCCGTGGGGATCTTCTGGGTCAGGGAGATGAGGAACAAAACTCGCCCCACTTCCTCCAGCTTCCGCGTGAACACCTTGCAGCAACCAAACGCAGGAGCAGACACAAATAGAATCAGCAACTCCGAAATGACAAAGAGTGAAGAAACGGAAGTAAAATCTGTAATGGCAAACCGGGCTGATAAAATCAAGGCTGGGGGAAGGGAAATGAGGGAGAAATGTGTGTGTGGTGGTTTTTGTGTGTGTGTTGTTTTATTTTTCACACAGAAAAAGCAAATAATACTTAATTGACTCTCACTTCTTGCATGTGTCTACTCTATGGGAGGAAGTGTTTCTTACAGAGTTTGCAGGCTGGAAGGACCACAACGCAAGCATTGTCAAGAATAGTTCAATCACATAGAGGCCATTTGCCCAGACATCAAAATATGGAAGACCTTCTCCAACAAGAGCTAACAGTCACTTCCAATTGCTTCTACCATCTCCATTGATGCCTTAAGCTGTTTCTTGTTGGTTCTGAGTTTGCCTCTTTAACACTGACCCAAATGGGATCCAAGAAAAATCTACCTTGGGACAAAAGCTGATGGGACCCTAGGTTAGTCCTCCTTTAGCCCTAAATTTAGATGGCATGAACAAGGGCCTTTGACCCCTACTCTTAGTTCTTTTTCTGTTGATGATCAGTGGACAGGGGACATGATTTGGGAGTTCATAAGCAGTGAGGCATTATTGAGGAAACTTCAGAGCCAGAACGATGGAACTAAGTTTCTGAGGAACTTAGAAAGACATCTTTCAGTCCAACCTGAGTGCACACAGAGCCAGAGCCCCAATTTATGCCATTCTTTTAAAACATGTTCTTAAACATGGTTAAAAAACAAACTAGTGAAGTGCCATTATCTATGATGGCTTTAGTTATTTTGCTGCTAAAATTATGAACTGAGATAATTTGGGGAGAATTGTTTCTGAAATCATTTAAATGTTAAGATCTTATAGTTTTGCCCAACATCTCACACCCTGTAACCCCTTCACTATTTTCTTTCTTTTAAATGTAATTTAGGTAGTTAATCGTAAATATATTTTTAATTGCATAAGTGGTCTAATTATATGCCATTCTTATTCATTTCATGAAGGTATTTTGGATAGTTTGATACTGAGTTAGCATCCTTGTTATGTGCAGAAAAACTGAAATTATAAAATATCCTGAAATTCTTGTTTAGACATTTTATTAAAAATAAATGTAAATTAATTAAAAGTAAAAATAAAACAATGTAATGCATGGATCATATTAAAATTATATTGTTAGAATTATATACTACACTTACATTTTGCATGCAAAGTAGTGAATCTCCTTAAGCTTGAAGTCTGATTTGCGATAAGACATGTGAACATTATTCTGCTCTTCAATCTTTATTTTTTTAATTAAAATTTGCTTTTAATGGTTGATTAGAGAGAGAGAGTTTTGTTGTTCCACTTATTTATGCATTCATTGGTTGCTTCTTGTTTGTGCCATAACCAGAGATCGAACTCACAACTTTGGCATATGGTATATGATGCTCTAGCCAACTGAGCTACCTAGCCAGGACCTATGCTCTTCAATCTTAGATCTAAGTACAACTGCTTGATTATGTCTCCTATTTGAAGATAAGTTAGTAACATGCCCAAGGTCAGATGATTGGTCAGGGGCAGAGCTGGGTCTGAGTCCAATCTCTGGACCTTAGTTAAGCATTCTTTTCAGACATCACTGCACTGATTTTCTCCACTTATTTATTTTCCAGCTAGCATAAACCTCTAGGACAACCTTCTAACAGTTATGTCATATGTACTTCTAATCCTGTTTTACAAAACTATGGGATGAAAATCCATGTTTAGAGACAAACAGGCAAATAAATGAGAAAATGTCTATTGTTTATACCCAATGATTCATCATAGCACTACTCCAGGTGAGTGTTCCTTAATACTTTATATTATGATCCCATTTACAAAACTAAACAAACTATTTTGGGGAACTATCTATTGATCAAGGGCCCATCTACCCATCCTCTCCAGCCAGGATCTAACAGCATCACAGACTCTCAGGCTTGGCAACCCAATTACCCAGCAATTATCCCAATGACACGAGAAAACGGAGGTGGCCAGGCACCTGTTTCTGAATGAGCTCCTGTCCTTTCTCCGGATGCATATGCACAAGGTTCAGCTGCGGAGACACTGACCTCCGGAAAGGATAAATGTCCCGGACATAGGTCTGTGATGGGATCACACAAAGACAAAAGAGATGATTACACTTCTGACCTCATTTCTCTTTAGGTCAGACAAACAAAAGTTATGTATTTTCTAACGGTTTTGATTCTTACTAGGGTACATTCCCCAATTTGACAAAATAACAAGGAAGGTAAAAGCCCTCCTCAGGAAAGCGTCGCATTGCCCAGGCTGAGTACTCTTTCCGAATACCCCGGTGCTGTCAGAAGCCAAGGAGCCAAAGGCTGCTGACTAAATGACATTTTGGAAGGAAGTCACTGTAAAGCGATGTCAGGGGTCTTCCTGAGGTCCCCCTTTGCTCATTAGATCAGGTCACCCCGATCATGCTTACCATTATAGAAGGGGGAATCAGAAAAACATTAAAATTCCAGTTAGAAACATGTGTTATTATATGGACAGCTTAACTTTTCATCTAAATTTAATAATAATCAATCACTTTATGCTTTACTTGGCCTATCTCCTTTGGTGATCACAACAACCCTACAGTAGATACTATTATCACCACCTTCAGTCTGCAGACAAGGAAACTGAAGGTTCCAAAAGTAAAGTGGCTTGTCCACAGCTACCTAGACAGTAAGTTGTGTGACCTAAGTGGTCATACTCCTAACCTCTAAACAATGATGCCTCCCTGAGGGCTTGCTACCCTCAAAGAAAGGCATGATGAGCTTCTGACACAACCCAACATGAATGTCATTGCTGCACAGTCTCACCTTATTGTAGTGGATAAGGTTCCATCGTTTATCCATGAGAAAATAATGTGTTGACTGGGATTCTGGGATGTTAAAAAATTCCAAACACTCCTAGAATAATAACAATACATTTTGATAAAGTTTTATTGAAAACATACTATGTGCTACCAGGTAGTAAGCTACAAAATACAAATATTATAAAAATAATGTAACTTATAAGGATTTTATATATATGTGCATATAATATATATATATATATATATATATATATATATATATCTTATACACTCTTATACATTATGCACGGGTGTATATGTGTGTGTGTGCATATAAATATATGGATACACACTGCATTTGGATATGAAGTTATCCAAAGAATGATATAATAAAGACTATTAAGGTGATATAAACCATCTACTCTCACAGTGCTAAAAGATGTACAATAATATTTTAGACTGAGTGAGGAACCGTGGAAGTATAGTTACATCTACTAGTCTCAATGTCAGGAAGAAAGCAGTTTAGTAACAACATGAAAAATAATACAAACTACAATGCATTGAGCACTTATTATGTACTATTTTCTAAGTTCAAGGCTTTCTATGTAGATTACGTGTATAACCTGCACTAGTATCCCAGTACTGTTAAAAACGAAACCGACAGTAGAGAGGTCTTGTTAATTGATTTAGGTCATACTGGTTGTGATGGAGCCTGGGTTTGAGCTCTGTCTGCCTTCATGTCATCCTACCATTTAACACAGAGTAGGAAGATGGAGGGATTGTTCAATTTTGCCTCAATGGGCCTTAGATATTCCCAGGAGATGTCTGGGTGAGACCTGAAGGAGGTTTAACAACCTTTCTACTGAAATAAAATATACAAGTTTGGCAAATGGAATTTTTCAGAGGTCTTTTCTACTCTGTCTGAGCCTGGAGTTGTATTACAGGAAATCAATTACCAAAAGTTAGAACTACACATAATAAACATCAGGGAGTCCAATGGGAATCATAGTACTAGTTTACTTACTACATTACCTTAAAAACCTTACAGACGTGCAGCTATAAATTGCATTTCTTTTGAGGGGAATACATGCCATAACCATTAAAAATAATTTCTCAACTCACTTGATTTATTCTAAGATATGTATTATCTGCTTCTCCAATAATTTCCTGCAGTGACAAGTCAAGACTGTGTACAGATGCCACTAGAAGAGTCTCTGGCATCGATCCCAGCCGACAGCTGGAGTTTGCCCCAGTGCTCAGTGTGTAAACCCAGGCACCTGCAGAGCTGCCCCCACGGCGAGCCAGGCAGCTCCGAGGCAGGAGGGCACCGCATTCCCACGGCAGTGAGGGGGACGCGCCAGGGTCATGCTGCTATTGTAGCTGCAGAGTTTGCCTACTTCATCGCAGAGCTAACATGTCAGTAAAAGTGGGGAAAATTACACAAGAAAATGGAGGAAGTACACAAATAGAGGAAGGGATTCTAGAAGAGGTAAATAAATGTACATATTGGGTGGAAGATAGAAAAGTGCCATGTAATTCTAAGCTGGATGGTCAGGGAAGTGTTCACAGTCATTGTGCCATTAAAAATTGTTCCTGTCAAAGTCACGCCTACCTTTAACAGGGCTTCAAATTGAGTGTCTTCATGGACTGGTAATTGGGTAGGGATATCACACTCATTCTGCCCATGAACCACCAGGGTTTTGGTACCTACAGAAGGAAAAAATCATAATGAACTGACTTCTACTATAGAAAATTAGTAAAGCACAAAATATTAAAATATTATCAATAAGCTGATATTTTTATTGTTATGATTATTACTATTAGTGCTTAATGTGAATTGTGTAGTATATTAACTGCACTCCTCTATTTTTAGTTAAATATATATTTTAAATATATTCATTTTCTAAATAATTACAGCTACCATTTATGGAGTTCTTAATACCTTTTCATGTATTTTATGTGCATGATCATATTTAAATCTCACAGCAACTCTAATATGGGTTCTACTATTTTCTTTCTTTTTTATAATTTTTTAAAAATATGTTTTTATTGATTTTAGAGAGAGAGGGAGGGAGAGAGAGATGGAATCATTGGTAAGAGAGAAACATCAATCGGCTGCCTCCTGCATAACCCCTGTTGGGGACTGAACCTGCAACCAGGGCATATGCCCTGACCAGGAATCGAACCTGTGACATTCAACCACTGAGTCATACCGGCCAGGCATGGGTATTACTATTTTCATCTTACAAATGAGGAAATAGCACTTATTCTTATAAGTAAGAACTTATAAGTAACTTATTCAAAGGAACACATTTATTTAGTGGAAGAGTCAGAATTCAAACCTTAAGCATTGCAACAAATATGCCCAGTATTTTAAATAATAACAGTTGAGAAAATATAAACAGAAATATTAGCAAAACCAAAACAAGTACCTTAAATATAGTTTAAATGTACATTTTCAGTATTCTATTTAGCCAGTGAGGTAGTACTTACTCTACTTCATTCACTAATTACAAATCTTTGTGAACATTATGATGTACCTTGGTTTTTAATGAGTTGTTTTTAAGAATATGAATGAAAATATGAGTTTATTTGTTATAATAAAAACTGATCACTTTGTTGACTTAATACAGAATACATGTAAATACACAACTAGCATTTATTGAATGCTTACCATGAGTCAGGTACAGTAGTGAGAATTTTACATACCTAAACCCATTTATCTCTCAGGATTGTGAAGTATGGTTATATCCCCATTTTACAGATGAGGAAAGAACGCTTGAAAAATTATGAACTATTTTATAGCTAATACTAATTATACAGACGATAAAGGGCAGTTCTCTGATTTTAACACAGGCTTCTTTGCTGCCAGAACCTGTGTTCTTATACATAATTGTGTCTTTCTTTTTACATCAATACATGTATCATCTCATATTTCCTTAGTCACTGCACAAGGATAAAGGCTTTGCAAAATTTTTATCTTAAACAAAGACAAGCGATTCAAAGTGAAAAGAAACTGTATCTAGAGTTTACATCACACTTCATGTTCTTTTGTGATTCTTTTCCTGATTTTCCTTTTTTCATAAAGCCATCTCTCATTGAGTTTACAAAGGACTGGGGCCCATGCCATGCAAACAATATTTATTCTCCTTGCAGTGCCAAAAATTCATTCAAAAAGGCTTTCAGCTCAGCTGGCCCTCTGCGATAGACTTAAATAAATCTGTAACCTTGGCAGCCCTTCAAGGACTGATTCACAGGGATCTCAGTTCTGATGTCTCCCTTTTCATCTGGCAATTGCTAACTCTTAAAGGGCCTATTGTATTTTTTTTCAGATTGTACTAAACAAAAATTCTTTGAAGCACTCAACACCAGGGTCAGGACTCTGAAAATTTTCTCATGAATGAAAGAGATGCTTGGTCTTTAAAAGGGTTATTTAGAACAAACAAGATAGAAACAGACTCACAGACACAGAGAACAGACTGATGGCTGCCAGAGGAGAGGAAGGTTGGGGGGGATGGGTGAAAAAGGTGAAGGGATTAAGAAGTACAAATTGGTAGTTACAGAATAGTCATGGGGGTATAAAATACAGCAGAGGAAATATATATAACCAGTGATATTTTAATAGCTATGTATGCTGTCAGAAGGGTACTAGAAATATTGGGGGGATCACTTTATAAAGAATATGGTTTTCTAACCCCTATACTATACACCTGAAACTAATACAAAACAATATTGAATGGAAACTGTCATTGAAAAATAAATTTAAAAAAATAAATAATAAAAGGTTACTTAAAGAAAATGTCATGTCATCCAAAATCAGTGGTGGATTACCTGGCATTGAGGCAGTCACCAGCAGCTTCACCTCACACTGCTCCTTCTTCATGGTCTGCTTCAGATCCTTGAAGAAGAGGCCCTCCACGTAGCCCACCACCTCCCACAGGAAGGTCAGGGTGGCTGAAATGGCATCCATGCCCCACTCGCAAGGGGTCCGCACAAAGTACATGATTAATCCCACCTGCAAGGCAGAACGGGGAGAGTTCACAAAGCCACATGATCCTGAGTGCACATTCTCATTTCCTTGGCTTTTCTTTGCTTGATTAAATCGTCTTTTGTACCTTCGTATTTTCTGTTCAAATACTTCTCCAACACTTTCTTTTTTAAAGATTTTTATTGACTTTTAGAGCGAGGGAAGAAGGGAGAGGGGGAGAGAGAGAGAGAGAGAGAGAGAGAGAGAGAGAGAGAGAGAGAAACATGGAAGTGAGAGCGAAACATTGATCGGCTGCCTCCAACTCGTCCCCTAACGGGGATTGAGCCCACAACCTGGCCATGTGCCCTGACCAGGAATCCGAAGGGCAACACTTCGGTGCTCGGGATGATGCCCAATCAAATGAGCCACACTGGCCAGGGCTCTCCAACACTTGCAATGGCAGTAAGCAGGAGAGGGTGAAAAACTGATCAGAATAGATTGCTGCCCATTTATATGTGTCACTAAAAATGGTGCTTAAGAGGAAATCAGAAGATCAGTTTTCCAGGTTTCAGTCACTTGGCACTCAGGTAGTTAGGTGACCTAATAATAATCTCTAAATGATGTTTGGCCAAACCCTCTTGGCAGATTGGGTTATGTCTATTGGTCTGAACTGAAGAACACTCTGTCTGTTTGGCTAAGTCGGTGAAGTTTAAAGCTGTTGTGTCCTCTCAGTAACTTTGAAAAGCAGCCTGTCCTTCTGTACATTTTAAGCTGACATTTAAAATGTCTCATTATAAGGTTATTTTTTGTTAATAGGAACAGAATATATTAAACATTCTATACACTGAAATAAGAGGACTAACTGTAACTGGAATGTGTATTTCATCAAACTTGATGAAATAAGCTTTAATTGCCTTATTCAATTATGCCCAACAAAAATCAGGAAAAAATGTAAAAGTTCACACCCTTACCAGTGGCTTTTATCCATTGTTTCTTGAAAAACTTGTTAGTCCTATACAATTTTCCAGTTACATTGAAAAAAAATCAGTGTCATTGATCTAATCTGAAGGCGGAATAACCTAATGAGGGTCAAATCTCAACCCTCGTGGAAATCTGTAGAAGACAGAAAAGGTGGGAAGTCCTATGGATTCAAAGGGCCTTGATCAATCAGAAATGAGGCTTCCTTAAAACTAACACAGTGCGTCAGACTCTTTCTCTGTCGAATGTGTCTGTCAATGTAGCCTGCAGGTACCTGTGATGGTCAGGGTGGGCCTTTGTGTGTGCTGTAGGTAGAATGACGATTGAGATGGCAGGCCTGCTCAAACAGTGTTAGTACATATTTGTAAGTTGAGGATTTGGAGATTTATTCCCTTAAAACTTTGTGGGCAACACACTCCTTTAAAAGTCTGCACATATGCCCAGATGTGCTCAGACCCCAGGTTGAAGATATCTGAGTCAAGTTACGCAGTGGATTTAAATGTCCCTAATAATTGCCCAGTTGGCGTGGCTCAGTGGTTGAGCATCAACTTATAAACCAGGAGGTTGCAGTTTGATTGCTGGTCAGGGCATATGTCTGGCTTGCGGGCTCAATCCCCAGTGTGGGGTGTGCAGGAGGCAGCCGATCGATGATTCTCTCTCCACCATTGGTGTTTCTCTCTCCCTCTCCTCTCCTCTATGAAATCAATAAAAATATATTAAAATAAAATAAATGTCCCTAACAAAGTCTGGAAGAGATGAATTAGTGTCCCCAATATCCCTACCATGCACATCTATAATAGTTATTAGATAAAAGATGTATAATAAGGGTAATGGTTTAAAGACTTCTCTGCTCTTTATTATTGTGCCATTCTGAGTACAAGACCCTTTCCCTAGTCCACCTAAAATATCCATGTGCTTGGGATTCAGGGAAAGATTAGGGTTTAGACAGAAATGCAGAAACAGAAATTTATATTCATTCAAAACAAGGTTTTAAAGCAAAGACAAAGCATGGTTAGCCCTTTTCTCTTATGTATTATGCCACTGAGAAGACTGTGTCTAACATTAAAGTTGTTTTTTTTTGGAGTTGATGGAAGTATATGGCAGAAGGGAAATGAAATGTCCATCTTTGTATCTCAAGGCTAAAGGACGGAGGAGAGCAGTGGTCCAAGGAAGCATTTCCCTTACCTAGTGGCCTGGGAATGGGCAGGCACACCAAAGGGGCCCTTGCTCCCAGTCTCTGTTAGGGAGTCTGACAAGAGTTCACCTCAGAGACGTTCCACACCAACCTGGATGCAACATAAACTGGGCAGAGCACATACCTGAGGGAGGCCTTGAGGTTTGGCTTTGGTGATCTACCTTTGGCTTTTGTGTGATATAGACAGGACAAGAAGGAGCAGACAGTTTGGCTGGAGAGCTTTCCAGATAGAATTAGCATATGTCGGTGACATTTGTATGGGGTCCTCTAGCTGGAGCCATTTGGGACTCACTACCAGAACTCAGCAGGGGCTGAGGTGAGGTAGAGTCTCCCAGAACTCACCGCTGGGAGCAGAGGGACCCTAAGTCACAGCAGCCGTGGGCTTTGGTGTCCACTAGCTGGGCATCCAGCAACCAGTCAGATAGAGGGCACCGTCTCATGAAGGCAAGAGCTAGAGCAAACGTTGAACAAGGGATGGAACGCTGAACAAAGGTCTTTTTTCTTCCCAACTTCACATGGTGTTTAAAGATGAAAGCAGTTGGAAGGGAAGGGAATTCCTAGAAACTAAATATTTTTAGCCAAGAGACACTGAACACCATCCAAAGGTACTATTTATAGATTTTTATCAGTCTGAACTTAAAACTGGATTGGACATGATTTTTATTATTTCCCTTGTCACCAGCAGGTGGGCCACTCAGGAGAAAAACCAAATCAGTCATAGAGAGGAGAAAGGAATTACACATCTCCTCTGCACGTTAATGTTGTGGTGTAAGTTACATTTACCATTTTGCTACAGATGCACATGAACAACTCTTCTATTTCCCAACCTGCTAGAAGACCAATGACAGTAATGGAGAAAGAAGAGTTTCTCTCAGCATAGAAATTTATTTGGCATCTGTCTGCCTGGATGAAGGTGCAATTTCAAAGAACAGGCATCATGTTAATAGTCCCCAAACTGCCTATCCATTTAGGGTGCAAGGAGAATGCAAAGAAACTGATAAATTCTGGAGGGTGCAGAAAGGATGGCTTAAGACATAGATAGTTCCTATACTAACGTACACTTACAAATACTTTCCGCCTATGGCAACATTTGTGTGTGTGTGTGTGTGTGTATAAATAGTGAGATAAGGGAAAAATGACCAAAAACTACATATAGGTTTTCTCAAACCAAAATTAGGAACTAACATAAGGAAGTTGTATAATGCCCAAGGAAGACAGAGAGGAGGCTAACATTGATTGAGTACCCACCACATATCAAGGACTGTGCCAGGAGAGGTTTCCCCACACACAGTGGGGAACTTAGCTGACTATGACATTTAGCTGACTACGGTTCACCTTTAGTCACAAGTTAAGGGGAAGACCTTTTCTCATGCTGTTGCTTCCTACTTGGAATGAACATTTATAATCTACTGGAGGCTGAAACTCACCAAGTAGTTGAACAGGATGTGAGATGTCTGAGCAGGAAAGTCTCCAATATTCAGGAGAAGTTTGCGCAGCATGTACATTAATTCATCCTGAAAGAAAAGAATTCTACGTCATTCAGCTGCCATGCTGTAGGCAATAAAATTCACTTCTTGAAAAGTAGGGGGATGGATATTCCCTACCTTTGCCCACATTTGACTTCCATTTTGTTCAACATTTTAACATTGTCTATGTGATATTTGTGACACAGTATTTAAACCAATTCTAACACCTTCTCCTAGGAGCTAATATATGAAATCACTGAGCAGCAGTCGGACAACTTTTTAAAAAATCAAAATTTTGACTGTGTCTGCAGGTCACAGGCACATCATGGGAAAGTGGTATATTTTGTCAACTCTATTTACTATGGCTGCCAGGTGTGATGAAACATGCGAGGAACTTAGGCTTTTTAAAAAAAACAAAACAAAAAAAACACCTCTCCCTAAGGGCAGAGCCTAGCCCAGAAGACCAGAGAACCTATGTTGAGACACCATTAAGCAAACCAGGTTTATTGAACTTCATAGTTCTACTTCCTAGGTTTCGAGCGAAACAGCTAGGCCAAGAGCAGATAAACAAAAATGCAATTAACCTTAACTTTCATAATCTAAACTTAATCTTCCAGCAAACAGGACCATAACATATAAATGAACATAATTTTCAGTCATCAGTGAATTTTACCATTGCTCAGAAAACTACTTTTATTTGGCACAGTCTTATTATAGGGTGGTCAATTAAATAAAGAGTTTCAACATATTCTAATAACCCTACCTGCATCGAACACAGTCTACCAAGCAGAGTTCAACAGATGTTCTAAGAAAATTATACTGAATTTAATCTTGGTTTAAAAGACTGAGAATCTGTTTGGTATCTTAGGGTCATCAGAAGCAGTGTACCACACACTATGGAGACATCAGTTAATGGAGAAATTAGAAAGAAAACAACAAAGTTTAACATTGCTCATCCTTGTCATTATCAGAAGACACTGATGTTGCATGCACAGCATTATGTAGCCCATTGCTTGCTTTTAACAGTGTTCACACACATAGCCACACATAAAAAAGAGGACTTCACTTGTCTATTGCTGATGGTCAGTTTTTCCAGAAAATGTCGAAGAACTGTTGATGGATCTTCAATTAGACAGTTCCACAAGACTTGTTGGGCCACAGCACTCACTTTAGAAGAGAAAGAAAATTGACCATTTGTCTTAAATGGAAATAAACCTATTAGATAAAGTATTCAAGCAATTTACTAAGCTTTAATTAGTCTCTATTGTTTTGCCTTAAAGAAGTTCTGCAAACCCCCACCCCCATTATTACCAACCATGGGTATTTTCATTTAAAATAATTTTTGAAGTTCTTTCAGCTGAAGTGTAAGATTTCATTGTTTTCAACAACAATGTTGTTTACAGATGTTATTGTCATTAGATTGTATCTATATCTTTTGCCCTTTTTGGGGAAGGATTTAAAAAAATCTTAAGTATTTTTTAGAACATTAAGAATATTAAACTATTACAAATGTAAATCATCTCTACCTCTAGTTTATCATTTCATATTGCAATTATTCTCTTTGGGTAGTATCTCTGGAAAGATAACCAAGTGGAAAGATGGCATTAGTGATGTGTAGCTAATAGCTAAGATTTCTAAGGTGGCCAAAATCACCATTTCCAGGTGGCCAAATAAGTGTTCTGTTCTCTGGTCATGAACAATGCCCCTGGACCCAGCTACTTAGTTTAAATGCATTTTTTTAGTCATAAAGGTGGAGAGGAAGAGATAGTGATAGTGCTAAAGTACAGTATAGATTTACAGTACTGCAAATCTATAACTATAACATATGCATAAAACAACTCAACATGTGGTCAATAGTTAATATATTCAAGAACACCTTACTATCCTATACCAGAGGAACAGTGTAAGTATTTGGTTTTACTAATAAAACCATACCTGCTACTCCATCTTCCCGCACCTCCCCATCCTCCATGAGATGAACAATGGGGAGCACTGCTGCACAGATGCATGCTGGGAACACTGCCTGTGGGGGCTGAGGCACATGGTGGTTTGGCGTGTGTTCCGTGGTGTGCTCCTCATCTGAAGCAGGAGACATAATCGAGGTGCTCTTATTCAGTATTGTAATTCTAGTGCAACAACACTTCTCAGTTCAAGACCAGTTATTTAACATTCTTTGGTTTATAGATATCCCAGCATCATTTGTTGAAAAGACTAGTCTTTCCCCATTGAATTTTTTTGGTACCCTTTTGAAACATGAAATCAATATAAGTATAATGGTTTCCTTCTTGTTATTCAAATCTATTCAGTTGATCTTCATGTTAACCCTATGTTAACACCATCTCCATCAGCATTGGTCATTTTTTAAATTTCCCCTGGGTTGTGTAGCCAAAGAGTGATAACCATTGGTTTCTGCACAACTTTTTTTTAAAAATATATTTTATTGATTTCTTACAGAGAAGAAGGGAGAGGGACAGAGAGTTAGAAACATCAATGAGAGAGATCGATCAGCCGCCTCCTGCAGGCCCACCACTGGGGATGTGCCTGCAACCAGGGCACATGCCCCTGACCGGAATCGAACCCGGGACCCCTGAGTCCGCAGGCCGATGCTCTATCCACTGAGCCAAACCAGTTCGGCTCTGCACAACTTTTTAATATGATTTTATAAATGAGTCATAAAATTTGCATAACCATGAAGCATAATTTCTGTACGACTTTTCAATGACTTTATGAATCAGAGATGAAATTTGTATAATCATGAAGCAGTGAGTCCCAGGCAGCTGCTCATTATCAGGGAAGCAGATCATTTAAATTCTTAGGACTGAAGAGCATCACATTTCCCCCCTGGAATCAGATTTCATCACAGAAGTAGCAGGAGCTATGGTCTTCCTTGGTTGTTTCATGATTCCAGAACAGCTTCTTAAAGCATCCTACTGGGAACTGGCCACACCCTGAAATACCCTGAATAGATTTAAGAAATACCAATGGATATGTGGGTCCCACCCTTAGAGATTCTGATTTGTGATGTGTAGGCCGAGTTTAAAACTGTTAACTGGCAATTGAGTCTATGGAACCCTCAGCAACAACTTATAAAGGACAATTGCTGGATAAAATCAACGATAAATTTTTTAGGCTACCACTCAATACAATATATTTTAGAACTTCAAGTCATGAAACAAGCTATTTAATGAAGGCAGTGTAGTATAGTGAAGTGAAATAATGTTAACTGAAAACTGTTTCAAAATCCACATGTCATGAGGAATAAATATCATATTTGCAAGAGGACACACCTTCAGCACTGACAGCCGAACGCACCGACCAGACTGACCCTCGGCGGAAGGAGTAATTCCTGTGGGAAGTACTGGAGGTACAGGATGGACTGACAGACAGTCGGCGGGATGCCAGATTGGTGACTTCTTCTACTGGCAAAGAATATGGGGAACGTGAACTTTGGTTTCATAACAAAATAGCTATCATCACAACTCTAGCTGTACTTGCATTATAAGTGTATAGTGGTCTCAGAGCATAAATCTTAAGTAAGTTAAAGTATACTTAGAAAAGGAAAAAATATATACAGAAAGACAAAATTCCTCCCAAAGATTCCACAAAAGCAAGGCAGAGAATCACTGATTTTAGAATGGTTCCTAAGTCATTTTCTGATACCAACCAACAAATTGTCTGTACTTCTGAGGGTTGAAGGTAGTTAACAGACTCATCCCATTTTTAATGATAAAAGATTGATTGCATCTACTTTTATAAACACTCTAGATTTAGCTGTTTCCTGAATCTCAATCACTGCTTGGTCCATTTTCATACTGGTTTGTTCAGTGTGGCTAACATTCACCTCTTGAAACAGGCCGACTGTGATCATTTAGAAAACGAAAATATTTCTTTCTTTGGACAGTGTCAGGAGGTGAGAGAGAGAGAGGGGGGAGCATATGACCTTATTTCACATAAAATTATCAATGTTTCTTTTAAAGCAAGCTCTTTCCCTTTCCTGTGACTCAGCCCCCAAAGAAGTCCTATGTGCAGAGGGCACCTTCTTCTTCTGGCTCTGAGTTGGGTGTGCAGGTGGGCTCGTAGCAAGCCTCCTGGGTGATGGGGATGGCAGTGATGAGGCTGGCTTCTCGGCCAAGACGCTTCTTCTCTTCCTCCTGTTGCAAGTTCTTTAAGATGTGTTCTGCCCTTTGATGGGAACGAGACACAGCCCGGGCTGAAAAGGATTTCTATAGAGACATGAAGGCAAGTTTATTGAATAGCAACTCTTCTGTAAGGTCACAAGTATAAAGAGTGCTCCAATAAATTACACAAATGTGGTACCCTGTCCTCAGGAAACATTAGTGCCTCGATCATATGATCTAAGTTCCTGGAGATTTACTTGTTTGTCTACCAAGTTCCCAGGTTGGTACAACTAAGCTATTGTTTTTCACTCAATCAGAATAATTCTTCAAGAATGTCTGTGATTTCTGAAAAAAAAAATCCTATTTTACCTTTAGGATTTGGGGTGATATCAATGATTCACTCTTTAAACATTAAAGACAAATTATTTTTAATACTCTACATTTTTGAACTGGTTTTAAATGAAGGTCATTTATTTCACAAGGTTAATAAAAGAGAAAGTTAGAATCGTGGAAAGGAGGAGGAAAGAGATCTACCTCTCATATAAACCCATTACTTATGTGATTTATTTCATTTTTAACCTCATATATCTACCACAGTATAAACACATAATATCCTATATAATAAAAGCCTAATATACTAAGTGTCTGGTCGACCAATTGGCTGTTCAACCAATCAAAGTGTAATATGCTAATGATATGCTAAGGCCCCTCAACTGCTCACTATGACATGCACTGACCACCAGGGAGCAGACACTCCAATCAGTAAGTTAGCTTGGGACTGAGCAAGACAGACCGGACACGCCCTGGAGCCCTCCTGCAGTCCCTTCTTGGCTGGCCAACCTCCCACATCTCTCCCCGGCCCCAATCGGGCACTGGTGGTATCCCTCAGTCTGGCCTGCACCCTCTGGCAATCCATGACCCATAGGGGGATGTCAGAGAGCCAGTTTCGGCCCTCCCACAGGCCAGGCCAAAGGACCCACCGGTGCACAAATTCGTGCACCAGGCCTCTAGTTTGTAGATAAATACATTAACACAGTGTAAATACTGAATATTTGTAGAAACAAAGTTACTGATGGAAATTATGAGAATTGCTGGTGTTATAAATTGAATGTAAAATTTGACTTTGTTTACCATTGGCTAAGGCATAACAGATAAAGACACAATAAAGGAGAATACTTTCATTCTGCATACAGTGCTTCAATCATGATGTTTATGCTGAGACAAGTCAAGGGTTTTGGGGACAGTCAGTGGTCTCAGAGCAGGGCAGTGATCACAGGAGTTCATCACTGCCAATATGAAGTAATGTTTATGTATAATAGTTATTGCACATCTCTTTGTTGCCAGTGGTCATATAGGGTTTTAGAGACAGACAAGAGTTGTTGGCCACTGTTCTAAAGGGCTGCATTCATAGAAGTCCCTTTAAGCAGGATCTTAACATAAGACTAATGGCTTCATATAATGAATGGCACAATAGCAATTTGGGACATTTGATGGGCTAAATAGCAATTCATTTTCAGAGTCGGGGTTAAGATAGTTTAACCAGGGCACTTGGTTTGAATTTAGGACATTTGATGGACTAAAGAATGTGATTGGCTCAAATGAACCCATCACCTGTATGGGAGAAAAATCAAAGATCTTTATGCCAGTGGTTCAAATGATGAAATGATTGCACATCTGGGGGAAGAACCAGGAATGACATTCTCTTTGGCATAAAAACCATCAGATACAAAGGCACTGTATGCAAAAGAATTAAAATAAAAGATTTTGATGGGCAGAGTTCAAACAAACAGTTCCCCAAAGAAAACTTTAATGTATAAAAAATGTATGTGTGATATGCAATATGTTTAACCTGACTTCACATATTCAGCTAACTTTTTAAACAAGCTGGAATAGAAACAACAAAATAATGTTTTGTGCCATTCACAATGGCATTTAAAAAAGAACACTAGTTAATTGGAATAAAGGGGCACTTTCCCATTCTATTGTATAAGGTTAAAATGGTACAACCTTCCTGGAGATATTTTGTGAGATGTATCAAAAATCTTTAATATTGCCCAGCCAGCGTGGCTCAGTGGTTGAGCATCGACCTATGAACCAGGAGGTCATGGTTCTATTCCCAGTCAGGGAACATGCCCAGGTTGTGGGCTAAATCTGCAGTGTGGGGCATGCAGGAGGCAGCCAATCAATGATTCTCTATCATCATTGATGTTTCTATCTCTCTCTCCTCCCTTCCTCTCTGAAATCAATAAAAATATATTTTAAAAAAAATCTTTAATATTTACATACCATTACCCTATATCCTATACTTTTGTAATCACGGGTTTGTGCAAAGAGATGTGTTTTTTTCTATTTTTGTTTTATTAAAAATTTTTCTCTACATTACTCTTGTAATTTAGAAAAATGCTATTTAAAAGGTAAAAAAGTGTTATTTTGAAGATTCATTTTTTCAAAAGGCACATATACTTGGCTCTTGTCTATAAAGAAAGTGTTCTAAATTTAACTATTTATAAATTACCTTACATAGAGCAGTGGCCTACTAGAGCAGCCTAAGACCTGAGGTCTCACAGTGATGATTGTGAGGATGATACTGGAAATCAACAAGATGAAGAATGGACTCAGGTCAAAACAAGGAAACAAGAGCTACCAACTCAGCACTTTTTCTTACTTATCCAGGGCCAATATCATTAACTTTGGGGTAGCTTATGTATTATAAGTTTAAAACACTTGTTTTATAACAAATAGAGGCAAAAGTGTTACCTTTGGCCAAGAAATCAACTCTTAATATCTTTACAAGGTGGCTGCTGCTTTGATTATAAAAACAAAACTGTGTTGGTTTGAAAGTCTGCAAATGCTCATCCAGGTGTCAGTTCCTTCTGTGCTATTCACAAGAACAAAAGACCTTTGTAGCTGATTTTCTGTGTTGTTATTATGTTATTATGACAACAAATAAACATACGAACACATTCCTTGTTCTTCTCTCTTACATGTACACGATGAAGCCTGGGGGAAAGAAAGTGCCTATTACTCACAGACTGGTCTTCATTAATGGGGTCCTGGACACTCCCGCTGCACTGAGGGACCCACGGCGGGTCAAACATGGGGACAGATGGCATTCCAAGTACTGGCGAGGGCAGGGTGAAGTTTATACTGGGAGGCGGGATCTGTTAGTTGATATCAAAAGAATGAGGTGAGTAAGATGAAGAGTAAGTTTGAATGACTCAGAAGTATAATTATGACATAATCTTACGGAGCCCAGGATGTTATAGAGCATAGGATGAACCACTCTAGGGCTCGGTTTACTCATTAATCAAATGAAGGGTTTCAACTAGATGGTCCCTATTCTTGTTAATCACCCCATCCTCCAAAATACGTCTATCTGTGTATATATAGTGAAATGTCTGGATGATTATACACCCAACTTTTAAGTGCTTACCTCTGGGGATGGTAGTGATATCTAGAGGTTTACAGAGATTTGATTTTCTTACTTTATGTTCTTCTATATTTTATTTTTTAACAATAAGAATTCATTCACGGATGAGTTAAGTTTATATAATCAGAGAAACACAAAAAGAAGCATCTCTTGGGCCATACACTGCAGACTTGATTCAAGGATTTCAACAACGTTTGGGTGGGGTTTGTTCATCTAATTCCCACGTGGGAAGGATCCCTCACCTTGAAAATCTGCTGTGCTCCCTCCTCCATCCGGGGCCAGACCTGATAGCGAAACCTCCAGAGTGTGTGGAACTTGAGGACGGCGTTCAGCCTCTGCACCGTCTCCGGGTGCTGGAACTCTGACATCAGCATGTCGGACACGGCCTCGGGGACTTTCACCGCACACAGCAGGAACATGGCAGCTAGAGACAGTCAGCCATTCATCAGCCACATATCTTTTAACTGCTTGGTTTCAGGGGATGGAGAGAAGGGAGAATTGCCCCCATCTCCTGAAAATGACTTCTGAGCTCATCAAGCCAGGCCACCAGCATCGGCAAAAGCAAACCTCAGTCACTGGAAACCAAACATCATCCTATGTGCCAACCTCAGTCTTCTGATATCTGGGGTGAGGGCAGCGACAACATGACATTTTAATAGAATAACTCATTCTATGCAAAGTCTGCGTTGGCTCACAGGGCAAAGTGAATGCCAGAGGAAGCAAATGAAAAAAGGAGACTGCATATTAAAATATCCCTTTTAGGAAGTGGCTAGAGGTACCTTATAATAACCCAGGAAGAAAATATAAAAATGTCAATTAAAAACTATCTCAGTTACATCAGTTGTGTTAAAAATAAAATCTACCTTATACACTCTTTTAACTTTTACCCTTCCTAGAGAAAGAGATTGAGAAGCTGAAAGAGATTTAATAAATCATATTACCATTGCTGTTTTTTTAAAATATATTTTTATTGATTTCAGAGAGTTAGGAACATTAATGATGAGAGAGAATCATTGACTGACTGCCTCCTGCAACCCAGGTATGTGCCATGACCAGAAATTGAACAGTGACCTCCTGGTTCATAGGTAGATGCTCAACCACTCAGCCATGCCAGCTGGACTTTTTGTTTTAATTTCCAGGAAATATAAATGACAATAAGAGAAAGGTCAGGTGCCATGAGTTATAAAGCTAATGAAAAATGAGAATATGCATGAAATCAGATATGACCAAACAGTTTTAAGAAATGAAGGTTGACTTGACGGAGCCAATAAAAGCCTCTCGGAAAAAACTGGCCTGGTACCTTGCTTACAGGGTTCCCTGCAGGCTTCCAGGTGAGTGAGGAAGATCACTTCCTGGTAGGCCCAGGAACTGGTATCTTTGGGACTTCAAGAAGAGAGAAATTTACCGAAATACTATATAGTTATTGTAGGTGAAGTCTGATGGTGAGTTTTTGGCTTGGTTTCTTAGTCTGGAGAGGCCTTTAAAAGCCCAACCTAAGATTTCTTATGAAAAGTTCCAGGAAAGCACATTTAAAAAGAGGTCAAACACTATTCTCGTTGCACTCATATAAATGATCAAGCCAACTTTAACAAGACTAGATTTATTTTGCAAACAAATTCATCTTACTGTGATAGTCTTTGATAGAAATAAGGGTGGTTGTTGATGAAAAAATGTGTTTTGGTAGAAAATAATAATACAAATTTGTAGATATCAGATTCTAGGCCTGTTCATTGTCTTTGAGGTTTTATTACATATCTATAAACCAAACTGGATCCTGAATTCTTATAGTTTCCTCAAATATCTTGCCTCAACTCTCCTAACAAACGTTTCCAATTTTTTCCCACCCTCCTGACTTGGAATCACTAAAAATAAAGACTGCCCTTAAATCTGTTAGAAATGAACCATTTTAGGTCCCCCTCACTATACAGACGGCGGCCAAACTTCAGGGACTTGAATGTTGGCTCTACATCCTCCAACTAAAAAGAGCTCCTCCAGATTCTTGGAACTGTACGCCCGAGGGAAATCTAAAATTCAAGTTCACTAAGAGGTTCCTCCCCAGAAGCAGACGCCATCTTGTGGCCAAACAACTCTCCCATGATCACAGATCAAGGTCTTCATCCTTCTTTTTGTTGTTTTGTGCTAGGAGGGGAATGGCTGGATCATATAGCAAGTGTAGTGACATGATTTCTACGTTATTATTTTTAAATTTATTTATTTTTTATTCTTTTGATCCTCACCTGAGGATATTTTTCCATTGATTTTAGAGAGAATGGAAGAGAGGGAAAGACAGGCAGAAACATTGATGTGAGAGAAACACACATCAATTGGTTGCCTCTTGCATGTGCCCTGACCAGGGCCTGGGCTGGGGAGGAGCCTGCAACTGAGGTATGTGCCCTTGACCGGAATCGAACCGGGGCAGGCCGAGGCTCTATCCACTGAGCCAAACTGGCTAGGGCTAAATTATTTTTATTGTTGAAGTATTACAGATGTCCCCTTACTTCCCCATTGACTCCTTCTAGTCTGCCCCTGCCCTCCGCCCCAGGTCTTTACCACCCTATAGTCTATGTCCATGGTTATGCATATATGCATATAAATTCTTTGGTTAATCTCTTCCTCCCCCACCCCCCTTCCTATGAAACTTTTATTTCTTTTGCCTTTCCACCACTTGAGTTTTGCACCTTAACTCTGGCAACTATTGCTGAATCTACTGCTAAGGCCATACCTGCACAACAAAAGTCCCAGAAGTTTCTTGCTAAGGAGGTTTTAGAATGATTTTCTTATTGTCTGTGTCACAAAAAATACCTCACACTGTACAGGTCAGCACCTCTGTATTGTAGCAAATGCAAGAAATTAACGAACAGGCCAACTGGCTCATGCCCTTTCAGCTACATTCTTTGATTTATTTGATACCACTGGTTTGGTTCATGGGGGCCCTGGCTAAGGAGTATACTTCAGTTTCTTGGTATTATCCTCCTAACAGTTACCACTGAAGTCTCTCTGGTTTGCTCTGTCCTCTTAGAGGTCTGATATGCACGCTCACAGCTATCAGTGGCACATCACTGTGCTTAGAGACACAGAAATAAAATGAACAAAGAGATGAACAGCAAAAAACAAGGCTTCCACAGATCAGACAACATAGCCTATGGATTTCACAATGAGACAAAAGCAACTGAACTCTAATGGTGACTGAAAGTTGGTGCTAATACCAATTTTTTGATCAATATCTCAGATGAGAAGGTAACCAAAAGGGGGAAATTGTTAAATGAATTAAACAAGGAGGCCATTATAGGGATGTGGCTTTAATGCCATGGGTGCCTGTGTAAGCAAGCCAAAATCTTAGCCTGGAAATGCCTCAAGGATATAAATCAATACACTAAGGAAAACCAATCACAAACAGTTGACTAGGCTTTAAGTTATAGCCAGTCAATAACTGTCTTACTTTGCTTCTGTATTTTCTCTATAAAAGTCTCTCCCTGAGCTCCAGTTAGAGAGCTCCTCATCACTTCTGGTTTGGCACTGCTCAATTTGAATTGAATTTTAAGAAATAAACTCTTAAAATTAAAAAATGGTTTCCTAGATATAAATGAAAAATGTAAATGGTGTTGTCCTATTTGTGTGAAAAAGGAAACATGCAATACATACATACATACATACATACATACATACGCCTAGTGTACCCAGAAGGGTCCTGAGATACTTAAAAATTTTTGCCTCTGAAGAAGTGGACTGGGAGTCAGGGGAAAAGAGTTACATTTTTACCTTCATACATTTTTGTGTTATTTGAACTATCACCTTGCGTACTCTGCAATTAAAATAAGTATATAAAACTAAAGAAATATGTTCAAAAAGCAGGAAAAAAAGTGAAGAACCCACATTTTGCACCTACTGCCTTTGGGCATGTCACTTCAGTTTCAACAAATTTGTTTTGATATTGTAATTTGGATATAGAACATGGCTCACATAAGATTTAAGAAAGCAAATGATGGTGGTTCATGGTAAATCTGGGCAATCGAACAAAAGGAAGAATTTGATTGTGAAATATAGAGACCATGTAGGTTCTGGAGAAAACCATTCTCTATAATTTGGTGACACCTCGGGAGAGACCCACTGCTCCTATGCAAACTATCCAGTGAAATGGAGAGGACACCCAGAGCCAAGGCCTGTCTCACTGCAGTGCATGGCTCTGTTCAGTCCTAACAACTGCTGTCCCTCTGACCTAGGAGTGCAACTGGAATAAATGCGTCTCTCTCTTGTTTGAACACCGGGATGCGTGGCAGCAGGACCAGGGTTCCAGGTGGTCTTTCCTTACCTGCCGCCCCAGCCATGTGCTCATCCATGCTGAGCAGGAGCTCCCAGGCAGCTGGCTGGATATCCCCATACATCTCCTCCGTCAGAATTGGTGCTGCCTTGATGAGCAGAGATAAGGGAGCAGGCGACAGACTCATCACCTGGGAAAGATGGAAACCATGGCTTCACATGTGTGATTGCTCTTCTCTCCTTGAGCCTTATGTGCCACTTTTCCCGTAAATGACTTTAATGACTTTCCTTAAATGACCTTAGAATACCTTCTAAAATAGGGCATATTTATTGGCATGGCATATTATAAGCTTTATACCTTATTAGTTGGTACATAATTAGGAAAAAATCATACTAATTTTATGATGCTTTCACCATAAAAATAGCTTTGCAAACACCTAAGGAATAAACTGTAGAATAAGTACAGCTCTAGGAGAAAAATGAGTCTCCAGCCAACATATCTGTGCTAAGAGTCCTGATGGGCTTTAAAAAAAATAAAAAAAAAAAAAAAATATATATATATATATATATATATATATATATATATATATGATAGATTTCAGAGAGGAAAGGAGAGGGAGAGAGAGATCAAAACATCAATGATGAGAGAGTATCATTGATTGGCTGCCTTTTGCACCCTCACACTGGGGATTGAGCCCGCCACCTGGGCATGTACCCTGATCGGGAATTGAACCATGACCTCATGGTTCATAGGGTGAAGCTCAACCACTGAGCCATGCTGGCCAGGCCAGATGGGCTTTTGAAGCATCCTGTTTTCTTTCCTGTTAAGAGTTGATTTCCACTGAAAACTACGAGCAGTCTCTAATTTACAAAGGAGTTCTTCTCAGGAAGTTAGTTTTCTAAACCAGTGTGAATTTGGATGGCATTTTGCCCTGGAAATACTATTATACCTTATGGTTGCTACCCCTGATTAGCTCACAAAATCCTATTTAATCCATTATTTCAGATAATTTAGGCAATCAATATAGGTTCCAAGCAAGTCTAGGTCTTTAACCATTATTTTAAACACTTTCCGGAAAATCATAAAAAGTATTTTCCCCCCATGGGGAAATGTATTATGATTTAGAGCTTTGGTTATAATAACAATATCGATAAGAGTACTATTTTATTTCATCCATGCAATAATCCTTTGAGATGGGTCTAGTTATAATCCGATAGGGGATGATAACTAAGACGGAGAGAAATTAGGTAAGTTGCCCAAGGCCTGGTGCCAGAGCAGCAGATGTGGGATTGGAGCCCAGATACTGTCATTCCAAGACCTGTGAGCACCACCACCACACACTAGTGAGAAACTAGCTCCATTGGTGGAGGGAGAGAGGGGAGAGGCATGGTTACAGCCATACTCCCCAAACCCTGTCACAGAGGAAGTTGGCTGTCTAGCAAGGAGGGGTATTTTCCTTGCACACTTGGTGGCACCCTAGCTCATCCATTAAAGGAACCATCATGTCAACACTGTGCCAGATGGCACCGTATGAACCAAACATTAGCAAATAGGGTAGCTGGAGCCCTCTGCCTGTCACGGCTCCATGACTGTTTCCGATCCAGGTGCCAATACCTGCAGTCTGATGTACTTCAGCATTCCCGAGTCCTTTTTCCCTTCTAGGTTGGCATCTGAAACTCTCTTCTTCAGAGAAGGTGTCCTCAGGCAGGACTTGTCTGAGCACTGAAAAGCACAGGGGAATGTCACGCAGAGTGCTGTGCTCGCTCCCAAACCCGCAGCGCAGTGTCCCCAGATTCTCCAACAACCCTCCTCATCTCATGGGAAAGACGATTTCAGGCCTTTTGGGGTGCCACACTCCTTGAAAATTAAATGCAGTTGACTTTGTAATAAAAAGGAAGCATAGGGATATGTATCAACAGGTCTTCTTTACACGAAGGAAACGGGATCCAGAGAGATGAAGTAACTCGGCCAAGTTGCAAAACTGGTTGTTAGCAGAATGAGAAAAGGACAAGGGCCTCTTGACTTGCATTTTAGGGCAAATTATACTCCACCAGGCTGTTAAAACACAAATCTTTTAAAATATGAAGTCGGTTAAAATCCGCTCTACCTAGGAGTCCCTTTACAGGGTTGGAGGTTACAAGTCGACCATTCGGTCACATAAGAATGAAACCATTTCAGGGAGGAGTGTTAGAAAGTAATAATAAAAAGACCCATCTAGGAAGCACGAGTTCACAGCATCTATGATCTAGGCCTGAGTTGCACAGGTAGGCTACCTTCTTTAAAGCATGCTCATCTAATCATCCTTTCAAACTGGTCCCTCCCCCAGGGTCCAAGAATAGGCCTGACTCAGCTGTGTAAGCATGAAGGAGACAATGTCTTCCCCTGACTCCTAAATGCCACAGAATGGAGTGGACCGAGCAGCTGGGAGAATGATCGGTCCCAACGGTGACAGGTTCTTGTTTATTTATCCTGAGACCAGCTTCCTCCTATTTTTGCACTCCAGGCTGTGCCAAGAGGGATCCATCCCTTTGCACAGAATAAGTGCTCATTTGTTTTTCCAGTGCCATGTCAATGAAACACTTTCTCCCTCCATGCCAAAGGACAAAACTGAGCTCCTTAAGATTTTTGAACAGTGCGCTACAGTGTTATAGATGGAGACATTTTGAAAGGGAAGGCAAATCTAGAAGTACATGCATGTTCCAAGAAAGTCTTTCAAAACTCTGACAAAAAAGACCCAAGACAACACATCTATTATATGACTGGTGTGGAATGAACTTTTTAAATGAATCTACTGGGAAATGAATTCGAAAATTTTGCTGTGTTTTCTAAAGGTAAAAACTTGGAAGCACATTTTTGGGAACACGTATCATTTTGGGAGAGAAATCCTGCATTTTTTTCTGTGAATGAAAAGCAATAAACAAGCACAAATACCATGCCTATTTTTTTTTATAATTTGAAAACTGTTCTAAAATTATGTGACAATCATTTTCCATGTAAATACAGAGAATGATTGTCACATGTAATTTTAGAATTTAAGAAAGTGGCACCTCTCTTTTATTCTATTTATACAACAATAGAGGCAAATTGCAGGATATCTGGAAAACACACACAAAAAACTATATAGAAAAAAATAAAATTCCCTACCCTGGGAGGGTCATTATTGGTTTCCTTTCAGCCTTTTCCCTCTTTATGCATCTTAACCCAACCGTGAGGATGGTATGTATATGGCACACAATTTGACAAGTTATTTCACTATGACCTTATAATGAATATTTCCCAGGTCATAGCAATTATTTTAAGACATAAATTCTTGAAATTTATAAATATTTCACTCCTTTCTCCTTTGTCTGGATTTTTTTTAATGAAAACTTACCTTACTTATCAATATTTAACAAATGTTATTCAGAATTTTTGTAAAATGTGACTTCTTTCTTCATCAGCAAGCACTAATTGAACACATACTCTGTTTAGAACATACCACTAGACAAGGTACAGATATGTAGGAAAATCTAATAATTCTTTGGTGAACTTGGTATATATCTGGTAGTTTATAAAACTGCTCAAGTTTGGAAGTGCAGTGAAATAGACTACCAGATGCACAGTGAGTCTCTGAGCACTGAGATGCAGAGGAACAGGTGGGTCAGAGTGAGATGGGTTAACAAAATGTACTCATTGCCACACACATATTCTACCATAAAACCAGCCCAATAGGAAATAGGAACAAACTACCGACTGCTCATAATACTTGACTTTATTCAGAAGCACTGCTTTCATTCTTGATTTACTGCCCACTCTGTTTTCACTTTGGCTCTGAAAATGTGGGCATTGTTCATTCACGTGACAGAATCAGACCAGGCAAATGGGAACATCATGAGAGGGAAAAACAACAACAGAGCTTGAACAGGAGGCGGCATTTTGGAAATAAAATGTTTACCACAGAAGACTCAATGCATCTTTGAGCTCTCCACCCATATGACTAATTTAAATAAGTTAAGAAGAGAGGACACTCACTTCTTTCCTTTCTCTTCCCTTTCAGAAATGCAAGCAATGCAGAGAAACCTTTCCTGCTGCTTCAGCCCAGTGTCCTGTTTGGACCAGAGCGGGAGGGCACTCACGAAACACCCCAGCACTATGCAGCCCACTATCATACCCAGCACATAGTATGGACTCAGCATGGGCCACAGGTTCTTTAAAAATTTAATAGACAGATGATGAATTAATGAATTCAATTCTTCAATTGAATGAAGAATCAAAAATGCACAAGTAGATGCTTGTGTCATTTAAAGAAAGGAGGGAAGAAAAATAGCATTGCCTATCCACCTGCAGTATGCCCTGTGGTTAACATTAGGAAGATCAGAAAAGGCTTCCGAAAGGAGGGAAAATTTGAGTTGGATTTTGAAGGATGTTTGGGTTTGGTCATGTATGAATTTACAGGTGAGGGTACAGTTGGAGCAGATACGGCAGAAAGAAATCTCAGAGTGTGTGAACAATGAACATTCATTTTAGGCTGGTTTACTTTTACAACTTCCAATATATATGATTTTCTATTAAAGCTAAGGAAGTTTTTTGTATGAAGGAGAGCTTACCTAGTGAAAATAGGTTTTCTTTGAATGTAGTGTCATTTATGTATGTTTGAGGTATATCTGTCTATATACATGTCTGTCTATATCAGTGATGGCAAACCTTTTGAGCTCGGTGTGTCAGCATTTTGAAAAACCCTAACTTAACTCTGGTGCCGTGTCACATATTGAAATTTTTTGACATTTGCAACCATAGTAAAACAAAGATTTATATTTTTGATATTTATTTTATATACTTAAATGCCATTTAACAAAGAAAAATCAACCAAAAAAATGAGTTCGCATGTCCCCTCTGACATGCGTGTCATAGGTTCGCCATCACTAGTCTATATGCATATACACAAACATGTGTATGTTAATATTTTTCTTTTATGCCAGCAGGTAGCAGTTCATGCAGTTTGTTACCCACATTGATCTATTCCCCACTGCTTTCCCTCAGGATTTGTGTAGTTTGAATACCATGAGATGCAATAGAGTCTAGTTAAAAGACTTTGATATCCATATTTCTAAATGAAAGTCTAGATGAGTAGGTTATAGATGTGAATTGTGGGCAATCCCATCTTTCTGAGCCTCAACTTTTTCATCTATAAAATGGGGAGAACAATATCTCTTGCACAAGGTTTGTAAGAATCCAAAGCACTTTGTTAATTATATGTATCTGCCTTATATCCCCACATAGATGATTAAAAAAAAAACTAACTAAAAGATCCTATCCCAGAAGATGAGTTAGCACACTTAAATGAGATGCATGAGATACATATATTTTTCTTTAGGATTTTTGTATTATCAAAAATTTTTTCAATGAACCTGTGTTGCTTTCATAATAAAAAGCTGTAGTTTTTTAAAAAATCCCTTTGCAAGTGCTAAAACATTACAAATTGCTACACAACTCAACTGTGAAATTTTTGTTCTTGCTCATATTCTCTAGCTATTTGATTTGTATCTAATTGTCATTCCCCCAACCCACCAAACCTGGCTTGCAAAAGGTCCTCGCATCATACTTATTTATTTTTCATGTCTCCCAGAATGTCTGGCCTAATACTGCGCCAACAGCAGGTGCACAATGAATGCTTATTGAAATGAATAGGTATTATATAAAAACCTCTTTGCAAAACCATTTGGGAGAAGCAGCTGCCTGGGCAGCCAGCGGCACTCAGTCGGGCGTCTTGGCCATCATGCCTGCTCAGGGGCAGGTGGGCAACCCAAGGCTTTCCTGGCAGGAACAGGGCAGCCCGGCGGCTGACTTTATCTTCTGCCAGCTCAGCTGTCAGGAAAGTGCAGCTGAATGCTTAGAAAATGTAATCGTTCCTTGGAGGAGTTTCTAGGTCTGATTTGACCTAGATGACTGTGTTATCTATTTATCTGTGAATAGTTGGGCCATTTATTTCTTAATAGCACCTACTGGTATCAGTTTCCTATTGTTGCTTTAACAAATGACCACAACCTTCATGTCTTAAAACAACACAAATTGACTATCTTACAGTTCTGAAGGTCAGAGGTCTACGATGGAGTGACAGGGCTGCATCCCTTCTGGAGGCTTTCGGGAATCATTCATTGCCTTATCTTTTGCAGCCTCTGGCTGCCAGCAGTTTTTGGCTCAAAGCCCTGCCTCATTCTGGCCCCTACATCTGTTGTCACATCTCTTTCTCTGCCTCTCCTGCCTTCTTTTTTCTCATATAAGAACCCTTATCATGGATCATTCAGATTACTCTCCCCATTATAAGATTCTTTATTCTCATAGTCGAAATTTCTTTTGTCACATGAAGTAACATATTCACAGGTTCCAGGGATTAAAATGCAGACAACGTGGGGGTATTATTCTGCCTACCACAATAACCTACTCCTTACTACCACCCCACGTGTTCATATTTACTCATGGAAATAAGACAAAACCTTGGAAATGATTCCATGTTTGTTCATGGACATGAAGACCAATCCTTTGTCTTTCTTGCACTCATCTTCTACCTTTGCTCAGAATCAGGGAGACCTGTAGCCTGTGATAGAACTACAGTGATCCGAAGTTTTTATTTCCAGATGAAAGATTATTAGAACATCATTTTCCCTGAAACTGGCATATTATTGTACTGACTGATCATTCACTCACCTCTTTCTGCTTCTTGCCCCTGAGAGCCACGTTGCTGTTGTTGTTGCTCTCCCGGAGGGAGTCCACGGTGTCTCCATACAGCAGCTTGATGGCCCTGACCAGCCGGGCACAGGAGCGGCTGTGGTGCAGGTAGCAGTGTGGGTGGCAGTAGTCAACATGGGTGCAGATAAAGCTTTGCTGATTGCACAGCAAGATCATGACCTGAAACACAGACGTCACTGAGACTCAACCGGGCCACCGGAGTGCACACAAATTAGGAACATATATGTGGGGTGGGAGATGGAAACTGAGAACGTCAATGTTCCTTGATGGGTCCTGAAACCACAATGATTCAATAATTCCCATAAGAGAACAAAGAGGTATAAGCCTTTATGTACTCGGCTTTTTTTGCTACCTCCATTCACACCTGATAGAAAGATCTTTTGAAACAATAAGATTGTAATCTTTAAATACTTAAAATGATTATTTTGAAGAATATGATTTCCATATATTTTCAAATGAAGATTCTGACCTTGAAATACATCACAGTATTTTTTCAGCTCTTCTATTTCAGAAGGAGCCAGATAGAAGAGCATAAACTGACGAGAAGTTCTGCCCTAAGGGATTTGGCTGACCTTTGATAGCTGTGGATGGTCTTTAACTCCAGCCCCCCTTTATGGAACTTGAACACAGTTCTGCATCTTCCACCCTGACCTATGACCTTCAGCTGGGCCTTGAACTCCACTGTAGAGTTTTCTTTCCTCTCTCCACAAATTAACATTTTTCTTTGTCTTTTAGGCCATTCTAGCACCTTACTTGTGGCTTGATCTGGCTCAAATCCTCACATCTCCTAGACTTCCCAAGTTAGATTCCAGAAAAGAACTCAGTTGATTTAAAATAGTTATTTTAAGATAAGGAGTGAACTCTTCAGTGCCTTCCCCAAAGGCACTAGCATTCCTAGAGCCACAAGGTTAGTCACATATGCATAGAGTAATCCTCTGGATGCTTCCACCCTTCCTGAAACTAGAACCCACCCCAACCCCTAACCTGGGAGAGACTATGTGCCATACTGGATGGAGAGCAGACTCAAGACCAGCACCATGACCTTGCTCTCAGTATCTGTGATAACCTATATAAAACTGGTCATGATGCCTTGCCTGTGTCACTCAAGCTGTGTTGACCACCAATATAGCCAGCCATTCATGATTTTTCCCTGACCTAAGGTGGCCCAAAAGTCAGCCATAACAAAGAACCCTTGGTCTTAGTTAAACTTAAAAGGAATAGTACCCAGCAGAACACTTATGGTGAATACTGAGAGGTTCCACTGAAATATAAGCCTCTGGTTTTTCTTGAAGACTAAATTGTATTGATGGCTTTAGTATAATCTTTTGTCCTCCCATCATGGATCTTTCCAGGTGCCCAAAGAGATTGATCTCAGGGTTATTTCTGAGATTCCTACTCACGTGAAGCCACGACATGTTCCTGTGGTAATTCTCCTCTGTGCCGGCAGTACTCATTCCTTCTGGCTCGATGCTGGGCTCGCTTGCACTCCACGGGCTCCCTTCTTCAAAAGAAAAATACCAAGAGAGGTTATGTTGTTCGGTCTCCTTGGAGAGCACGTTGGTATGGTACAATTCTCCATGCTTTTGAATCCTAGGGCAGACTACCATGGCCCAGTGGGTTTCAGGGCATAGCCTCGATTTTAGTGGAGGAATATTAATAGGAGCTGTTCCCTTCACCATCAGCTGTACTGGCAATTACAAAGACATTTATGACCCCTGTTAAGGTGGCTTCCATGTTTAGACATGGGAACAGAGAAAAAACAGGGTCAAGTCCTTGAATTGCTGAGATGAGCAAGTTATTGGGTGAGTGTGCCCAAATGCATTCCAGACTGCCCAGACCTCGCAGGTAGAGTTAAGTAGGGACACCAACCAACCTGCAGTGGCCACACAGAATGCTACTGCCCCCTCCACTGCTGTGCCTATGGATGGCGCTACTGTCCCTAACACCACCTGGCTTTACTGGCAGAGCTATTTCAAAGATGGGCAGGTGCCTTGGAAAAATGAAGGGAATTTGAAAGCAAATGTGTCTAATTGTGGACTAAAAGGATTTCCTTCTGTGGGAACGTATGCAGGAGACACCTCTCAGGAATTCACTACTTAGTATACTAAATAATGAAGCTTTGACCTCAAATCTAAAAGCTTTCTTGGGTTTTCTCTATGACAAAACTATGCTTCTACCCTGGCTATTTTGACTCAACTGGTCAGGCTTAATTGACCAATTCAATTAATTGAACCCCCCCCCCGCCAAACTAACTGATGATATTGCTTCAGTTTCAAACCTGTACCAAAAGAAGTCATGGGGTTTCTTCTATTGTCTCCTTAAAACATAAGCTGACTCTTAACACATAAATTAGCTATTTTCAAAGGCAAGGGTCTGTGGGTGTAGAAACGTTTCCTATTTTAAACTCACTTCAAATAGATATATACTCAGCTGCTATTTCGCAGGCTGGTTGGTCATTTATCAATAGTTCTTGACTGATTTCTGAAACAATTTCACCTAGAAAGGAGATCTCTCTCTTTTGCTTCTCATATAGGGACTGAATGACAAAGAAAGTGTGCTTCAACTTTTACGTAATAGTTAAATTCCAGGCAGTTAGTGAGTCCTATCAGCATGCCTGCTTAACCTTCTTTCTATTAAGATGATAACCAGAGCCTATAGGAATAACACATTTTGGGATTCAGAGTCTCTTTGGATCCTACAGGGACAAGCTCCATCCCCAATGCTCTGATTGTATATAGACCTCACCTTCAGGTGTTTATCTTTAGAGCAGTGGTTCTCAACCTTCCTAATGCCGTGACCCTTTAATACAGTTCCTCATGTTGCGGTGACCCCCAATTTCATTGTTACAAATTGAACATAATTAAAGCATAGTGAATAATCACAAAAACAATATGTAATTATATATGTGTTTTCCGATAGTCTTAGGCGACCCCTGTGAAAGGGTCGTTCGACCCCCAAAGGGGTCGCGACCCACAGGTTGAGAACCACTGCTTTAGAGCATCCCTTTAGAGTAGGCATGGAGCAAATAGAATTATTCCCATTGTTTAGATGGAGAAAAATTCCTGAGACACTGACTTGCTGAAGGTCACCAACTGTCAGCTCTAGACAATCGCCCCTCTCTGATATTTTGGTTGCTTTTAATGGGAAATAGAGACTTTAAAACACAGAGGACCTTTAGCTAGCTGTCCCCAAGGAAATACCTATGTCTTGCTTTAAAGAAACATCTGGATTTCAAAAAACTGCCCTTGTCACTAAAGTGTCTTCTCTCCCAAATAGATACTCTACGTCCTCATTCCTCAAACTGTGGACCTTGACCCGCAACGTCATCTTTACGTCTCAGGCTCCCACCCCAGACTGAAACAGAATCTGTATCTTATCAAGACTCCCAGGTGACCCATGTGCCCACTAAGGGTTGGGCAGCCCTGCTCTAAGGGTAGTATGGTTTTCAGACTGAATGAATGGCTCTGCCCTCCACCTTTGGATGCGTAAGAAAATGGACTTTGGCTGTTTCAGGATTTGGGCCCTGTCTTCCTACCCCCCACGTCCCTGCACACCCCACTCCTCTCTGTTACCTAGGTCAGTGACAGTGTCCCTGCTCTGGGACAGCTGCAGCTCCTCAGCCTCAGACTCTGAGTCCTGCCGTGATAACTTGCTGCTCTTTAAGCTGCCGACCCGGCGAATGCTGGACAAGGAACCCCCCTTCTTCACTTGGAAACTGCGGGTTCCTTTAATCTGGAGCAGGCGGGAGCCTCCTATCCTGTTCTTCCTGCTGGGAACTGCATTGAAAGAATAAAATAGGGCTTTCCCCCCCTTAGGGTTCCCCAGCCAGTGTGAGGTCCAAGCTCTCCCCAGCTCGTCCCTGAACAGCCTCCTCCCTGGTGGCCTGGATGGGCATCGTGTCTGGACAAGGAGCTTCCCCCACACCCGCAGTCAGGCGGGTTTGCTGGGCAGGCGGGAGGCTGGGCCCACCAGGAAGGGCTGGTGCAGCTTCTTTCTTGGACACATAGCTCATCGGTGCTGGGAACAGCCTGCTCCCTTGCTGGCCCAGGGTTCACAAGCATGCGTGCGCCCTTGCTAGGACTGTTAGTACATTTACATCGCATTATGGCTTGACTCCACAGAACCACAAACCATTTGTTTTTGTTTTTCTTTTGAAATGGAACCTGCAGAGTCACGTGAGTTATGCAAACCCCTTCCTTTTGGAATACCTCATTAAGAAATAAAAACAAGAGACGCTTCGCTCTCCAACAGTCAGCAGTGGGTTCCGCTCGGCTCGTCAGCAGAGGCACTAAAGGATCTGTTTCACTGGGGTGCTTTGGGTGAACATGAGTGGAACATGGATCCATTCCCAAGGCACCTAGTGATTTCACAGCATCCTCCTCTCAGTCAGAAGGCTGGGTGAGATGTGAGTCCAAATGTTGCAACACCCTGAGCCAACCTTACAGTCTCTATCTACCAAGGAGAACATGCATTATTCATCTTTCCTGTTCTGGAAGAAACAGTCATCAGTGAGGAAAATAAAAGGGTAACAAAAAACATGTTAAATCTTTAAAACCTACTTTTTAAACCCAAAGCACCCTTACTTCTCATTGTCATAGACACACCTCTTTCCTTTCCTTTTGAAGATGTGGTGTGGGCACACACTGATTTTTGTAAGGGTGGAAGAGCGTTTGCAGAGCCTAAAGTCATTATCACGAGGGGGTCATTTTTGTAAGCTTTCCTTATTAAGACATGAACAAGATTTCAAATGAATTATTTATAGCATAGCTATGAATATTTTTTAAACTCCCTATAGGGAAGATTGCATTTTAGTCTCGCATTTCTCACTCACAGGAGAGTTAAGCTGTGACTGGGACAGAACTCACACAGCTCTGTAAGATGTTAACTAAATGTTTACTTTTAATGCCATGTAAAGGAGCCCAGAATAATTTCTGTTGTATAATGTGAAATGTTTAATCTTTGATTTACTCTTGTAATTGAGAAGGATGAAAATGATCACCACTCAGCTGGCAAAGACCTCATGGAGCTCAATGGACACATCTGGATAGAAGTTCACATCTGAAGAAAAATTCTTGCAGCACAGTTGAATAAGTTCCATAAGGACCAGAGACCATACTACTCTATTTTGATTATAGCACACAACTCATCCACTGTATTTTTTCAATATTTATTTTTAGGCTTAAGTGAGACTTTATGACCTACCTGAAATAAATTTGAAATAGAATATAATTATCATTTTTAGTGACCGTTAATACAATTTCATGTCAAAGTAGATTGGGAAGTAGAGAAAAAGATTAGAGTTTTTTTCTTAATTTGTATAGAGGTATACTTTAGCATTCTTGGCTGATTTCATAATGCAACCTGTTCTATCACCAAAGGTAATTGGAGACAACACTGAAAAATTGATGTTCAGAATTATGACATTGACTTTAAAAAGGAAAAAGAAAAGAACTCATGGACACGAACAATAGTGTGGTGACTGTGGGAGGGGTGTGGAGGTGTAAAAGGGTATGGGGGGATAAATGGTGATTGAAAAAAATAAAACAAAATAGAGAAAAAAGGAATATGGCATCAATTATTTATAGAGGACACAGCAATTAGAATTCGGATTTGGTATTGTTCATGAAAAACATTAGTTGAGCTTGCACAGCATTGAATTTTAGTCCTTATCTCCATGACAACAAGAACTACCATGAAAGTGACACAAATTTATCTAAATTAAATTAAACATCTCTTTATCCCTTTTTTTCTCATCTCACATTTTATCCATTAGCAAGTCCTGCTGGCTCCACAAATCAAAATTTTATAGGGCTTTGAAAGCCCCATCACCTATTCCCAAGGCTAATGTAACTAGCTAACTGCTCCCCTTTCCCCCCACTCCCACAGATAGACTCATCTTTTAAATACATAAATCATAAATGCACATATTATATTACTGTTCTGGTCAAAACCTGCCAACAACTCTCGGATACACAAAGTAGAATTAAATGTCTAAACACATCTACAGACCCCATTTAATTGCCCTCTGACCCCATCCCTCCTACCGCCCTTCCCATCTCATTCTTCTCCAACCATGTTGGCCTTTTTGCCCTTCCTCAAGTGCTCCAGGTTCATTCCTGCACAAGAGCCTTGTTCTCACTGCTGTCGCTGGAAAACTCCTCCCTTTGCATGACTGGCTCCTTCACACGATACATGTCTCTTCTCAACGTCACTTATGGGGTCCTTCTCTGAACAACAGTCCCCCCAACTCTAGGTCACTACCAATTCTCTGACCCTAATTTGTTTTTTTTATACAACTCATCTCTATTAAAAAGTATGTAGTGTTACTCCCTATTATGTTATTAACTTTTAGCTAATATAAACTAAAACATACGTGGGAAAATTTTCCTCTTCATGGCTGTTTTCTGAAAACGTGTAATAGTGCCTCGCATTCAGTAGGTGCTCAATAGATGATTGTCCACTGATCAGAAATGTCTTGTGCATTGGAATACCTATCTTGGTTTGTATGTGGAATCTGGGTAAAATGATTTGACAGACCCTGCTTGGAGATTTTAGGCAGAAATTTTTAGTTTAAAAATTATTTCACATTAATTTTCCTCGGTAGTGTCTGAATTGTCCCCAGGTTGTTTATTTCAAGAACTTATATTTTTTGCTTTAATATAAACAGATGGTATGAACATTTAAATAAAACTTTTATAATCTAAATTAACAGGGTCCTCATGGTTCCCATTTTCACATTGATTTAGCAGCTGAAATCTACTTATCAAAAGCATTAAGGAGCCCTAACCGGTTTGGCTCAGTGGATAGAGCATCAGCCTGTGGACTCAAAGGTCCCAGGTTAGATTCCGGTCAAGGGCATGTACCTTGGTTGTGGGCACATCCCCAGTTGGGAGTGTGCAGGAGGCAGCTGATCGATGTTTCTCTCTCATTGATGTTTCTAACTCTCTATCCCTCTCCCTTCCTCTCTGTAAAAAATCAATAAAATATATTTTTTTAAAAGGAAATTGCACAAAGGAAAAAAAAAAGGATTAAGGAATATTTAGGAATCTTAAGGAGATTGTTGCTAAGTGGTAAATGACATTTTATGGATATGTTTTCATTTTATTTATAGTTTCAGTCTTCTGCGCTTCACTTATTAAACAACTTTCATATATTAACATGGCTATTCTATGAAAAGAAAAAATACTAAGCATTTGTGTCTTTGAATATTAAGAGCAATTTATACAACAGTAATCATGAAAGTAAAGTGTCCTTAAAATTAACCTGATATTTTATTTTTTAAAATGGTGTAGAATTTACTCAGCTCAAGTTTGACTATGTCAGTATTAGAAATTTTTATTTCGGCGACTTTAATAATTAGCATAATAACTTTGAATGGACCAAAAAAATCCCCTTGGGCTATGCTTAGAAGATGGAAGCTTCTCTTCATACGTGGTTATCTGAAGCAGGAATATTTGAAAATATATTGACTTGGTACTTCTTCACGTGCAGAAATTGCTAAGATTTGGCTAAAATAATATCTGGTTCACCATAAGTTCATTATGATATAACAATTACTTGCATTTTGAAAATGCCATGACTACAATCTTGAAATATTAGAAAATAATTCTGTGTATGTCCATTCCATGAAAGGTTTTAAAGTCTTTGAAGATTTGACGTTTTCTCTATTTAGGGCTATTCCTTTCAAGATTGTTCATTCCTTAAATCATCAAACATTCATGGAGTCATTGTCTACTGGACACTAGAAAGTACTAAGTCCATAAAATAATCTTTGACTCTTTTTACAAATGTGCTGATGGTCTTTTAATTGAAATTCACTAGGAGAACATTGATGTGCAGTGGAATTTAAGGAACAACAATCAGATAGAGAAGTTAAACGTTTAAAGGCGTCTCTAGAGAGCAACGTAAAACTTTGCAATCTTTACTTTAGCTCATGATATTTAAAAAAAAGACAATTATTTACTGTGTGTCTATTATGTGCCGAGTTCTGAGTTTATGTTTTATTTGCGTAGTCTCATTTAAAGCTTTCAACATCACAATAGGGTAGGTGTTATTAACCCAATTTTACAGAGAAGAAAAATGGTACTTAGGGGGTAAGTAACTTGGACAAGGTCACACAGCTAGTGACTATATTTTAGCAATTTAAGGTGCACATTTTTTCACACTTTAACATACCTGAAATGGACATTTGTCTTACAGTTGGCAAAAACTTAGCATCCCTGGTGCTATGGGGCAGTTGTGACACATTTGTTATTGCCTGTACCCATGTGAACATCTAAAGCAGTGGTTCTCAACCTGTGGGTTGCGACCCCTTTGGCGGTCGAATGACCCTTTCACAGGGGTCGCCTAAGACCATCCTGCATATCAGATATTTACATTACGATTCATAACAGTAGCAACATTACAGTTATGAAGTAGCAATGAAAATAATTTTATGGTTGGGTCACAACATGAGGAACTGTATTTAAAGGGCCAGAAGGTTGAGAACCACTGATCTAAAGCATCAGCAACAAACTTTACAGAATGGGTATCAGTGTCTTTTAACTCCAAGAAGCAAAATGGTAGCTGGGTGGACGAATGCGTGAGATGTCCATCAGATGTGTTTGGCAATATTCCAGAAGCAGGAATTAAAGGTAGGCTAACTTCATACAACTGAATATTTCCTTAAGTACCTAGCACCAATAGCTTTACTCCTTTTAGAGATTAATTTGAAAATGATGTATTCTTAACATTCTCATGACTCACAGGACATCATCCTTTAAAAAAAAAATACATGGACATTGACAATTCAGAGTTGAAAAGTGATTAAGAAATTTGAACTCTGAATTGAGGATAGTTTAGAAACCCTTTAACTAGCTTAAAGGTTTACCTTTTTTTGGCTGCACAAGAATGATATATACTGAAAATAAAATTTTTCATCTAATTAAGTCTGAAATTCTATTTCGAATAGAATGAAACACAACCTAACCGGTTTGGCTCAGTGGATAGAGCGTCTGCCTGCGGACTCAAGGGTCCCAGGTTTGATTCCGGTCAAGGGCATGTACCTTGGTTGCAGGCACATCCCCAGTGGGGGGGTGTGCAGGAGGTGGCTGATCGATGTTTCTCTCTTATTGATGTTTCTAACTCTCTATCCCTCTCTCTTCCTCTCTGTAAAAAATCAATAAAATATATTTTTAAAAAAATTATAAAAAAAGAATGAAACACAAACTAAGCAATAAGAAAGTATTGTGTAAGAGCTGAATGGGAATATTTTTCCTTTCTATTGGTATGTAATGTTTCATCGTGTGAATGATGGCATCTTGGATTCAATGAAATATGGAGAGCTGCTGAGCTGGAATTAGAACCTGAGCCTCTCTGACTGAAGAGTCCAACTCCCAACCAGAATGGTTTCCTACCTCATTGGATGACACAGTACTGTACGGAGCCAACAGTCTTGGCCGTCTTTGGGTAAACAATTCTGTAGGTTAGACCACAGACCAAATATTCTACAAGAAACCCTGAAACATGAAACAATCCTTGCTTTTCCATACCTTTCTTCTCCTCACCACCTGCGTCGGATTTGAGGGTGTGGCTACTACTGTGGAGGGAATCCTTTGAGTCTTCATTTTCATCCAGGACCCCGGCAAAGCTGATCTTCCTTTCATATCTGTGTCGGTCCAACTCAGGATCCAAACGAAGCCTGCAGCTCTCCAGGTCCTGAAATGTCAGCGAGGAGCACATGAATGCTGGCAACTCCCAGCACTGCAGTGGTCTCCTGGCAAACCTCCCTCGGTTTTGAATTGCATAGAATTGCATTTAAACAGCCCCATTTACCTTTACCTAATGCAAATTGTAGACTGTAGCCATAATAATATTCATTGAGTTTAAAAAACAAAAACAAAAGACTTCCCTAACTCAGTTTTTCACTTTTTCTCACATGCCTCACCTTCCAAAGCACAGACCTCATTCCAAATTTAGAACAAACTTACCTTCTAATTCTTTGTGCATGGTTTTAACTGAAATTGGTATTTACCTGTTTATTAAATAATTATGCATTGAGTATAAATGTGTTAGTACTGGGTGATAAAAAGAAGTGGTTCTTGTCCTAAAGAAAGTCAGAATCCCAAGGTAGAGAGTGAGGAGGCAAACAAGTGATAAGTTCCAAGGCTGAGAGACAGAGTAGGAGCTTAGAAATCATGCTTGGAGGTCGTGCTTAGCAGAACAATGACCTTCCAGAGATGTTCATGCCTTAGTCCAGTGGTTCTCAACCTTCCTAATGCCGTGACCCTTTCATACAGTTCCTCATGTTGTGGTGACCCCCAATTTCATTGTTACAAATTGAACATAATTAAAGCATAGTGATTAATCACAAAACAATATGTAATTATATATGTGTTTTCCGATGGTCTTAGGCGACCCCTGTGAAAGGGTTGTTCTATCCCCAAAGGGGTCGCGACCCATAGGTTGAGAACCGCTGCCCTAGTCCCTGGAACCTGGTGAACATGTCACTTTACATTGCAACAGGGACTCTGCACATGTGATTAAGATGGAAGATTATCCTGGAAGAGGAAGGCTTAACCTGATCGCACAAATCTTTAAAAGTGGGGAGCTTTTCCAGGCTGTGGTCAGAGGAAGATTTAACTGTGGAAGAAGGGTGACAGAGATGTTAAATTGCTGGCTTTGAAGATGGGGAAGAGGCAATGAGCTAAGAATGTGTGGCCTCTGAAAGATGGAATGAGATCAAGGAAACAGACTCTTCCCTGGAGCCCCAGAAAGGCAGGCGTGTGGCCTTGCTAACACCTTGATTTTCATCTGGTTAGACCTGTGTAAAACTTCTGATCTCCAGAACTATAAGATTATATATTCAGCTATTTTAAACAACTGAAATTGTGGTAGTTTGTTATAGCAGAAATAAAAAACAAATACAGAGGTAATGCTGGAGTTAAGTTTGAGGATTAAGTAAAGTTAGCTCAGCAAATAAGGAACCCCTTATACTGAGCTGTGCCTCGAAGGGAGAGAGAAATTCTGCCAGTGTATGATCCTGTTTTGTGCTTCTGGCCCTCACACATGAGATTTCTTAAACCTGAATTTCCTTTACCCACTTATTTCCTTAGCTAACTTTACTTAATCCTCAAACTTAACTCCATTGGGAAATATTTTAATAGATCAACAATTTTACACACAGAATTCCTTTAAAAATATTTGTTTATTGTTCTCAGGTTTGGAAGTCAATATTTAGAGAACATTTTGATTATTATGCTCTTTATATTATAAATCTTGTAAAAATGCTGCTTTTTTCTCTTTTAAAGACATTTATTTGCATGGTTAATAAAAAGTGACTAAAATGCTACCAAGAAGAGTTACTTTATGGAAAAAAAAGCACATTAAGTTGCATCTAGGGATTTATCTAGAAAAAAAATTAAGTTGGCAAAAATATATTTTTAGCATATTTTAATACCTTTTGATACCGTTTTTCCTTTTCCTTGAACTTTATTACCCACCAATGCCGTAAGGGCCTACTGGGACTTCCTGACCCTATCTAAGAAATAAGTGTGGTTAAACAAATTAACTTTTATTTTCATTATTGTATTTAAGGTTCTTTTGCTTTCTCTCCCACATTTTGGATATAACTAAGACTTTGTCAAATAAATATTTCACAGTGAAATCTGTTTTAGGGTATTTCTATTAGACATTCTTTTCTTCTTGGTAGAAAGTTTATGTTCCTGATCTCCCATCCCCAAGCTTCAGAGTATTGAATATTTTTGGCTTTTAATGTTATTATTTTACTGTGTTATTCTTTTATTATTCTTTGTTATGGTAGCTATTTATTTTTACTGCTATTAAAAATGTTACTAAACTAATAAAACATTCCGAAGATCTACAAATACCCTTGCAGCAAATGTTTTGTTAAAACTTTAGAATATTTCACTTTGGTGGTATTTATGCTTAGCCTGATAGATTCACTATTAATATAATTTCTTAAAAAATAATTTCAAGCATTTTCAGCATCTGTGTTGGTAAGATAGTTTTATGATACTCATTGCTTTTTCTATGGTAGGTTAGAACGTGACTTGAGGTGGTTTTTGTTTTTGTTTTTACCATCAACTATATTTAAATCAATTATGAATGAAAAAAAGCTTCTTTCTCGTTTATCTTATCAAGGTCATATCCTCCCAAAATACATAAACATACACTTGACTGTGAAAATCCCAATATAATGAATAAAAGATCTCTGAGACCTTGCTAAAGGCAATATAGCAGTGAAAACTTTCCTCTCATTGCCTGAATGACTGCAGGCTCTGTTTTAAATTAATTTCTTGGCATTTCCTACTGGCCTGTCAGTTATACAGTAATTTTTAAAAGATGTGACTGATTGAAAAATAAATTTGCTGTAATAATAAGGGTCATTAAATGATAGCTTTATAGAAACTGGAAGGAAAACAAAAACAATGGAATCAAACTTTAAGGTTCTCTTTTTAAATCCCAACAGGTCAAAATGGTGGCCAATAAAAATCTGAAAACTTAAAAATAGATACACTGCTGCCCTAGCCAGTTTGGCTCAGTGGATAGAGTTTCGGCCTGTGGACCGAAGAGTCTTGGGTTCAATTTTGGTCAAGGGCACGTACCTCGGTTGCATGCTCCTCCCCAGCCCAGGCCTATGCAGGAGGCAATCAATGAATGTGTTTCTTTAACATCAATGTTTCTCTCTGTCTTTCCCTCTCTCTTACACTTTCTCTAAAATCAATGGGAAAATATCCTCAGGTGAGGATTAAAAAAAAAATAGATAGACTACTGTGCTTTCATGAAGACCAGTATAATCAGAATGTTGATAACACTGACAGATTCTTACAGACCAGATATTTTATCATACTGGATTTTGAACTACACATATGTGTTAAATAGTGGTCTTGATTCGATTTTATAGAGTAGTTTCAATATAATAGTAAAGTTAATTCAGAAAATTAGAGGCCCAGGTTAATATAAAATTAAGTAAGAGCAGTAGAAAAACTGTTTTTTTCAATATCCAAATCATGTAGTTTCACATTCCAAATGTGGGTATGTTTCTCTTACAAACATACATTTTGCCCAGACATGTTTCCAACTTGAAAATACCCATTTTATGTTTTAGTGTGAGGAAACAGGCTTTGCAGACATGGAAGACCAGAGAGAGAGGCACTTCTCAGGAATCCCAGAGCAGAAATTCTTTTGGTCCCACCAGGATTAGGGTATGGCCTTGCTCATGCTACATTCGGTTGAAATATTGAGAGAGCTGGTAGATTATAAAATTTGCTTAAATGAAAGCACATAGACCAGCGGTTTTCAACCTGTGGGTCTCGACCCCTTTGGGGGTCGAACAACCCTTTCACAGGGGTCGCCTAAGACCATCGGAAAACACATATATAATTACAGATTGTTTTTGTGATTAATCACTATGCTTTAATTATGTTCAATTTGTAACAATGAAATTGGGGGTCACCACAACATGAGGAACTGTGTTAAAGCATCGCGGCATTAGGAAGGTTGAGAACCACTGACATAGACTGTTAGTGCAACACTTTTTCTAATAGAGTAGTGTGAGCCTGGTGTAAAGGGAAGAAAAGAACTTTTCTAGTTCCTCAGCTCTGGCTGGATGACGCCTACATTGAAAGAACCACTGGAGACTCAGTGCCTATTAGAGAACTAAGGGCCCAAAACGATCGGCTCTGAGGTGTGTCCTTGTCCCATACGCTCTCTCAAGACTCTAGCTCTTACACAGTGTTTTTATTTTTTTTTAAAAAAAACAGGCCCTGATGGTACAAGAGTGTGTGTGTGCCTGTGTGTTTTAGTATGTGTTTTTATACGTGTGTCTCTGTGTGTGTGTATGTGTGTGCATGTGTGTGTGTACATGTCTTTTTCTGACCATCCATAAGAAATGCTGCAGGAATAAAATATATGTTTGGGGATGTTAAGATGCTAAATGCTAGAATAAGTCTTTTTAAAAAAATATATTTTTATTGATTTCAGAGAGGAAGGGAGAGGGAGAGAGAGAGATAGAAACATCAATGATGAGAGAATCATTGTTCAGCTGCCTTCTGCATGCCCCAAACTGGGAATCAAGCCCACAACCCAGGCATGTGCCCTGACCAAATATTGATCCATGACATCCCAGTTCATAGGTGGACATTCAACTACTGAGCCACACTGGCCGGTGAAGAAGTCTTTTGCCTATAATTTAAATAAGAAAACTCACCGGAAGCACACTTCTATATGGATTTATGAGCAGTAGGTATTAACAAATCTGTTAGGGATTTCTAAAAAATCCTGGCCAGAAAACTCCTCACAGCTTGTGGTGTAAAGGAACCTACACATTCTTAGACATTGTGGCATTACCGACAGTAATCAAACAGTTTTCCCAGTGGTGCTATCTTTTGGGATTTCAAGGTCAACTTGAGAGTTATTTTTTAATAGAGCAAATTTTATTTTTATATATGAAAATCTACAATGAGATACCACCTCACACCTGTTAGAGTAGCCATTATTAACAAGACAAGCAATAACAAGTGTTAGAGAGGTTGTGGAAAAAGAGAACCCTCATTCACTGCTGGTGGGAATGTAGACTGGTACAACCACTATGGAAAGCAGTCTGGAGCTTCCTCAAAAAATTAAGAATAGAGCTACCATATGACCCAGCAATCCCTCTCCTCAGAATATACCCGGAAAACTTGAAAGCATGTATTTGCAAAGATATATGCACCCCTTTGTTCATTGCAGCATTACTCATGGTGGTCAAGACATGGAAGCAACCAAAGTGTCCTACGATAGAGGGCTGGATAAGAAGATGTGGTACATATACACAATAGAATACTACTCAGCCATAAGAAAGGAGGAAGTAGCGCCATTTGCAACAACATGAATGGACCTTGAGAACATAATGCTAAGTGAAATAAGTCAGTTAGAAAAAGCTAAGAACCATATGATTTCATTCATATGTGGGAATCAAAACTGAAACTTGTGAACACAAACAGCAGTGTGGTGGTTGCCAGAAGGAAGGGGGTGGGGGGGAGGAGGGGGTCTTCATATATGGTTACATGAGAAGATTTGACTTTGGGTAGTGGGCACATGGTATAATATACAGATCTTGTAACATAGAAACTCACACCTGAAACCTGTATGTTCATGTTGACCAATGTCACCCCAATAAATTTAATTTAAAAACAAAGAAAATTTTGAATTATATCATAATTATATCATACATTTGGCCATTGGGCATTTGAAGAAAATGTGCATACTCAGAACCTGGTTACATGTCTTACTCTCTCCAAGTAGCCTGGTTGTTAACATGCATGCTTTTCTTACCACCAGAGGCTCAGTGCGTGGTCTGGGCAGGCAAGAAAAGGTCTCTCGCAGGAAGGTGGTAATCTCCAGCAGCAGCTGGCATGCTGCCATCTTCAAAGCAAAGGGGCAGCCGCATTTAGAGGGGTTCACAGTACCTGTGGAATGAGAGTTCTTTCATGAGTCAACAAACTAAAATACAGAGAGGCGTGGTTTAATGGAAACAGCTACACATGTGTAAAATCAAATTGCATATGAGAACGTTACCTAAACATGTCCAAAATGAAAGTGCATATGAGAATGTTACCTATACAGGTTCAATTTACCTATTCCCTTTACCACAATCTGTACATTAACAGACATCTCTCTTTTTCCAGCTTGTAATTCTATAACAAGTGCCCAGTATTAAAATAGCAATCAAGAACTAACTTATTCTCCTTACTGCCTCGTAGAGTAACAAAATGCAGCCTTTTGATGAAAACAGAAATGGGAAAGCAGTTTTGAAAGATTTTCATATCGCTATTCAATCAGATTTAGACTATCTACATGGCGGTGGAGTCGATTTGAAACTATAAAGGTCCTGCTGATTCATTTTATCAGAGACATCTCTCTTGATATTCTGAGGACAGTGAAGTTGTTTCAGTTCAGGGCCAGATATGTTTCTGTAGACATACTTGATCACCTCTCTCATCCAATTGATGCAAGTTAGCCTGTCATATTAAAGTATAGCTACACTAGAAGTATGCAAATGTCCTCCTTTGCTCCAAAGCATACTGATCTTTAAATGAGCAAAACATTGCATCCACCATAGTTCAAGTAATGGATTTTTCTCTAAAGGCAGATAATGTCCAAATTGGTACCATAGAGACTTTTTAAATTCTCAGGATTTAAAACTCTCAGATACATATCATCACAAATCAAGCAGAAATACACTGATTACTTAAAAAGAAGACCAAAGCCATGCGGAGTTCTGTCTCTCATAAAAGGAAGCAGTTACCACCCAGCCAGTGTGGCTCAGTGGTTGAGCATCAACCTATGAACCAGGAGGTCACGGTTCAATTCCCGATCAGGGCACATTCTCTGATTATCTATTTTGAATGAATTAAATCATTGAGCAAGCAATATCACTGCATAGCAACATTGCTAAAAATACCTCTAAAATATTTCCCATGTAGTAGGCTTTTTTAATTGAATATAATATATACTTCATGGTATATACTGACAGTAGGAGGAAATTATGGCCTTTCTGAAGATATCCGGCTATTGTTTCCTTATGAAAACCAGTAGTTTCTCTCCAAAGGTAGCATGTGGCTGGGGAACATTGCCTCTTTTAATTTTTAAATTTTATTTATTTATTTTAAGTAAAGCACCTTTCTTTTAAAAAAATATTTTTATTGATTTGAGAGAGGAAGGGAGAGGAAGAGAGAGACAGAAACATCAATGATGAGAAAGAACCACCGATTGGCCGCCTCCTTAACACCCCACACCGGGGATTGAGCCCACAAACCAGGCATGTGTCCCGACCTAGAATTAGACTGTTACATCCCAGTTCATGTCGATGCTCAACCACTGAGCCATGCTGGCCGGGCACAATGCCTCTTTTTAAAAATGTAAGGGACAAACTCCTTTAGAATTTCCAAACTGATATGTGTATGCACCATGATTATCTTTTAAATGCAGGATGAGCTATGTATTGACTTGAATGTTGAATGAAACCAGACATTCCAATCTATGTTTGATGGAGGCTACATGACTCTAGAAATTACCTGGATGTGCAATGGTTTTTTAAAAATAATTAAAGACTAGATATTTAGTATAAACTTATGGATCTGTCCTTTTACTTCTGAGTTTTCATCTAGATTCTTCTTGTCTGTCCTATACACAATGAGCTTGGTCTTAGTCCAAGGCCTCACATAACTATCATCTCAAATGTTCTGTTACAATGAACAAGGACTGAGTAATGCATAAGCTCACAGAAAAGCTAATATACCAGGTATAACATACTGGTAAATGGTACTTAGGTGGTCTCATGAAGATTCAAGGTCATTTTGGTCTATGAGGACATGTCCACCTGATGTTGCCTTGGCTCTTCTCTGTTCTGAATGACCCCTGAGAGACCCAGGGCAGTTTAGGGACGTCTTCTGGCAGGCCTTCAATGGTTCTGTGATCACTGAATACTCCTAAAGGCCTTCTACAAATCAGACCCAGTTCCATGAGTCATTCTGGGAGAGGCTAGACTACTATGAACTTAATGAAATCATTGGGGCAACTATCACCATTAGACTGAAAGACTGATGTCAGAATTTGTTTTGTCAACAACTAAGTCAAGAAATTTTCTCTCATTTGATAAGGGCTGAGAAAGAGCAAAATGTCTTAAAAATTATTTTTAAAAATCTTTGATATAAAAGTGAAAAAGAAGACAATATGTTTATTATTCAGTTCTGTCTAATGTTACAGTCTAGCCATGACATATAGTCTTTATATTCCATGACTACAAGGATGTAGTATGTTTGGCATCACCTAACGAGGGACAACCCTTAAGACATAATCAGGGAGTTTGAGTTTCAAACCACTAGGGAGAGTCAAGAGGAAGAGGCCTCATTGTCTTCAAATAATGATACTGATTCCATGATCATATTGGAATTTTATGATCGATAAAAGGCAGTGGTGCACATACATATAAGCTCATATGGCATAGAACACATATATGCACAAAATGGTTCTGGAGAGAGATGTACAGAAATCTTTGCCTCTATTTTTCTATGATAGAACTCAATTATAATTTTAATACATCACTACAGTGTAGAAGATATTCATAGTTCTAACAATGTGAATCTTTCAATAATTCAATTTAATGTCAAATGCTGCATTATACTCTGATCAAAAATTACAATATGTTAGTGATCTGGAAAGTATGTCATGTTCAATTTTGTTTGGTATAACTTTTATTTTATTTTTTAATCTCCAAAAGCAATAATAAAATACAAAATCTGACCAAACTCCCCTTGGGACAGTAATATTCCACAGCTTGATTTTCTCAGAGAAGCCTAATACGAATCTTTGTGTAATAATATGAGTCAGAGACTACAAAGTGATGGAAGTTCCAGATGGCCTGCAACTCTTTGCCCCTGTCTATAGTCTCTTCTAGTCTCTTCTTTCTGGTTCTTGCCCTCTCCTCTGTGTGGCTTTATGCACATGCTTTACATCCATACACAGGGAATAGGGGGAAAGGCGCAGTGGGGAGACATGGGAAGGTGGTAAGAATATGGAAGAGGAAAGAGAAATATTAAGTGCTCCTAAAGCAGAGGTTCTTACAAGCAGGGGTTCTTGTAGTAAAGGGAGTCTCCTTACTGTCATCTAAAAAGTCTTCCTCCTCATCCTCCTTTCTCAGTCTCCTCTTGGTCTCCTCATCATAAATAAGACCCAGCAGGTTGGCTGGGCTCTCACTTTCCCCATGGCACAGCTCATTCAATCGGATGCCAATTGCCTACCATGGAGGGGGAAAAAGAAACAGCACAAAGTATATTAGACTGTGAAGTAGGCTCTCACATACAGAGGACATAAACAACAAAGGAGTGGGAAGTTCTTCCAGCATAAGCCTCCTCTGTTTGCCATAGTGTTGCTACCACCAGGTTTTCTAATGTGGAAACCCAAAGTTGGAAGGCACTTCTGCTATCTCCACGGTCATTCAGACTAAATACTTGTAGGAACTAGGATGATACTTTGGTATACGCATAGAATTTTTTTCCCCATTTACTCAGTGAAAATATTTTCATTTACCTAAGGGTCATTTATTTTATAGGTCTCATATACGGGTGTATTGCAGTCTTTCATGGAAGATTTTGTTGCAGTAAAAATAAGAAGTCACCCTTCCTCAGAGTACTCCTGATCAGGCTATTTTATGAGAATGTCATTGTCATGCTAATGAGTTTGGAGGTTGGCAAGAATTCTGGTACTGCAATTTTATTTTTATCTGCCATTATGTATGCACTGATTATCTTTTTTATAGAATTTGTTCCCTCCTCCATGATACTCTGAATTAATACCCAACATCACTATTGGAAATATAACTTTTAATAACTCAGCACATGGGCAATATTGTGTTTTTTTAAATAAGGTATTAATGGAACTAATAATTAAGGAATTTTCCCTAAGAAGAGAAAAAATAAACTACCTCTATCTAATTTATGTTATATTCCAATTATATACCGTATGCAACAGTGGAAGGAACACAAGCCCAGGAAGAAAAGTTAGGGAAATAGCTAAAATGAGCTTGGAGTTTGACAGGTGGATTACTCTGTGTACTAGTAAGACTAAAATTCCAGCTAAATCTTTCCTTTCTTCTTGTAACATTCTTTTCAAATAATTAGAAAAGTTACTAAATTCTGGACATACAAGAAATTACACTCACTAGTGGAAACTGGCATACAAAGGTATGTCCGGAATTCTAAATAAAAATTCAAGCTGTTTGAGTGTCTTGACTATTGGGAAACAAAAAGGTCTCCTCAAACTCTAGAATTAAGAGAGGAATAAGAAAAACCACATGGAAAGAAAGCAAGCCGTGTAAACAGATATCACAGGATCCTAAAATTTTAGCCACTAGCCTGGGATGTTTTAAGCAAAGAAAACAATAAAAACAAAAAACCCCACCGCAACAAAAATCTTTGTCCTGATGTTACTACTTTGGAGATCCCTCCAAAGGTGGGTGCATGCAACGTGAGTCTAGAATGGAGCCAACAAGCTGAATAGTGAGGTCCAAAGGGGAAAGATTCCATATCAATCCTCCCAGGATATGAAAATAAATGGTGTAAGTTAAACCCACAGCTCCCAAAAGTGAAAGGGTTGCTAAAAAATGAACTTCTCTGGGGTAATACTAAATGCCTTCATACAGAAGGATCGATGTTTGGGAATTGGAAGGTTAGACAGGTTGAAAGATTTGCTCAGGGTTACTTAGCAAGCTGTGAACTGGGATTCAAACACAAGACAGGGTGTTTGATTCAATGTCTTTTGCTCTTTCCCTCACCGAGCTCACAGTCTATTGGCAAGCATGTCAAACTCACGGCCAGTGGTATAACAGTGTGAGCAGTTATTTATAATTATGAAGGGAAATTAAGTCTCCTGTCAGATCCAGAATTACTGACATTCACCTTGGGTCAGTTTTGAAAGGAATCACTGCGAACAAGCTTTCCCCAGAAGTAGGAAAGATAGTAGCAGAGAAGAGATGCCATGTGTCAGGAAGAAAACATTACTTTTATCATTGCTCTTGTTCTTTTTCTTATGCTATACTTTTCTAAATAAACCTATGTTGCTATGAAAATTGAAGCTTTTGTTTTTTTTCAGCCCACATAAACTTAAACTTTGTTTATTTGGCCTGTGTTAGCCTTTGAGTTTGACATGCTTGGTCTATTGGGGAGGTAATAATATACCGAAATAGCACATTAAGTAGTGAAAGACTTCATTAGTTCAGAAGATGGAGAGCTTGGATTCAGTTTGGAGAATCATGGAAAGTCTCATTGAAACATATTTTTGAAGAATTGGTGTTTTGGGGGATGGGGAAGGGAAAGAGTGGATAGTCCAGATAGAGAGTTCCAAAAGATCCATATTCAGGGAACTAAACTGATGTGTTCAGAGACTGAAAAGTAAGCCACCTGGATGAAGCACAGTTTTTTATTTTATTTTATTTTATTTTATTGATTTTTTTACAGAGAGGAGGGGAGAGGGGAGAGTTAGAAACATCGATGAGAGAGAAACATCGATAAGCTGCCTCCTGCACACTCCCCACTGGGGATGTGCCCGCAACCAAGGTGCATGCCCTTGACCAGAATCGAACCTGGGACCCTTCAGTCCGCAGGCCAATTCTCTATCCACTGAGCCAAACTGGTTAGGGCGAAGCACAGTTTTATAAGAGGAAATAATGTGCAGGAAGGCTGGAAAGGTAAGCTGGGCCCAGATCCTGCAGTTCTTGAAGCTGAACTTCATTTTACATTCTGAAGGATGATGAAAGGTAGTTTCTGAGTGGGGGAGAAACCTTAACAGTCATTCGAGGGATACTGCCCTACTTGCCTAGAAATTCAAAGACAAACCATGTAGCCTGCTTTCAAAAATTAATGTAACAGCCCAGCTGGCATGGCTCAGTGGTTGAGTGTTGATCTATGGACCAGGAGGTCATGGTTCGATTCCTAGTCAGGGCACACGCCTGAGTTATGGGCTCGATCCCCAGTGTGGGGTGTACAGAAGGCAGCCAATCGTTGATTCTCTATCATCATTGATGTTTCTATCTCTCTCTCCCTCCCCTTCTTCTCTGAAATAAATAGAAATTTAAAAAAATTAATGTAACAACTTATTATTATCACACACCTCTTAGATGCAAAGGATTAAGATAAATATTCTTTAGAGTAGTTCATTTGCCTTCCTCATCCATAATCTTGATATGATTTGAACAAAGGTTGTGGAGAGAACAGTGATGCCGGGCTAAGCAATTTGGGCTTCATCCCCAGAGAAAAGAAGGGCCACTGAAGCATTACAAGTGGGTAGGAAGCACCATCTGATTTGCATTTTCATCTAATCCCTCTGACAGCAGTTCGGAGAATGAATTGGAGGGGGCAAGTCTGGAGGCTGGCAGATAAGTATGAATGTTCTGCTTTTAGATGGGCTAAGCCTTAGGGAGATCATTTACTAGCAGTGTGTAGGACTCGGGGAGGAGACCAAATGGGAAAATGCTTTAGTCATCCAGCCTCAAGGGGCATCAGTGATGTGAAGGGGGTGGAATCAATAAGGGAAGGAGGTTTGGAATATGTTCACAGGCTGCCATTTTAGATGATGGTGGAATCGTTAATAAAAATAGAAATTTTAGGAGGGGTTGCCGACGGGGTGTTCTTATATGGGAAGAACAGTTTTACTTTGGTCAGATGAGTATTGAGAGGAAGCCCAGCTTGCAGTTGACAATACTGGCCTGGGATCTGAAGTGTTATGGATAGAGAAGTGTGTGCTGCTGCCACCGAGTTAACAGTTAAAAACACAGGAATACATGTAACCCTGGGGGAAATTACACAGAAAGAAATTACAAGCTATCCTGGGAAAACATCTATAGGCAGGAAGGAAGCAGAGGACCAGGGAAGGAGAGAGAGGAATAATAACATCTAACTTCATAGATGTATTGGGAGCATTCAATGAATTAAGATTATTTCCCCTAAACTGTTTAGTTCAGTGCCTGGCATAGAACAGATACTCAATGCATTGTCTCCCAGACAAACAAACACACAAAACGTCTTCACGTCACTCAAGCACCCTGATTTTTATGGAAGAAAATGAGAAGCTCACGTCTCCCCATTGGTAGAAGAGCTTGGCAGCGTTCCACTGCAGCTTCTGGTTCCGCTTGTTGCCCACGATGGGAGACCGGCCCCTGGACAGGCCTTTCTTGGTGATATTCACGTGGTGGCCTTTCATCCACTCGGGCCAGTTGCCACGGTTGCAGCGGTGAACGAATCGGGCGCATTCCAGGAACAGCGCTGCTCTGGCTACCACAGGGGCTTCCTGAGTGAATGACCAATGTGGGATTAATGAACGATAAGTTGACCTTAAGGGAATTACTATGTACTCTTAGTTTATTTGAGTTTTTTATTTGGTTGAGCTGTATTTCCCAGGGTAGCATTAGCGTGGCTAACACATTAGTGGGAAATCTGGAAAATGAATCCCTGAAGGCACATTTGGATATTGAAGAATTAGACATTTTAAGTAGGTTTCTGTGTTTATTTTTCCCCTTTTGCAGAATCTCAAGTAATTTCATGATTCTCTTTGCATATTTAGGAGGCGGCTGGGATTTGAATATGAAAGTGAAATACATTTTAATAAGGTTTTAAATATGCAGCTTTTTTAAACCTAACATTTTGACACGAAGCAAACAAATATTCAATTTCTAGAACTAGTCTTATCTAATCAAGGGTGCCAGTAGTGATTTTGTTCCAGCAATCATCTATTATCTATGACCATCCACACACTCCAAGAAAATACAACTGCTCTGAGCATGTTGGCTAGTAAGAAAAGGAAGTGCTTACTAGATTTTGTTGAGTTAGTCTCCCCCCCCCCCACTTTGTCATGAATAACAGACCAAAGTCCATTTAAACTGCATAGCTTTAATTGAAAATGTTTGATAAAGAGGAATTATTTCATTGATAAATAAAAAACTGAGCATTTAAGAAAATTAAACATGTGGCTCCATCTTGTCATGTCAAGATGTGTCTGAAAAAATAAAAGAACAACTTTCAGTTGCTACCCAGGAACTGGTAAGGATTGGATGTCTACTGACCTCTTAACAAGCTAAAAAAAATTTAATAAAGGAAGGAGTGTTAAGTTTGTCATAGAAGGTCAACAGGTTGCAAAAATATACACTTCAACAATGAATGCATACTTTGACTTGGGCCAGTTAAAAAAAAATCACAGTATTAGCCATCACCTCAGAATTACCTAATAACCATAGGTTGCTTAGTAACCACAGGTTTTAAAATGGAAACTTTTTTCTTCATTTCAAGCAATAGTGTTATTATGCATTGATCCATAATGTCAAAAAAAGGGCTAATATTATTGAGAGTATCAGTTATGTGCTAATTAATTTTTGTGTATTGTAATTCTTAATTATCATAACTCTTTATGATCTAGAAATAATATTCTCATTTTTCAAAATATGGTATGATTTTTCCATTATCATATAGCTGAGAAGGGATGGACAGAAGATTCAACCCCAGGTCTCTCTGGTGCCCAGGTCTATGCTAGTTCCTCTTTGGTATCTACATTGTCTTAATTTAAACTCATATGAATCTTGGTAAAAGATGGTTTCTAGAATGCATGTAGAAAGTCATTGCTTAAAAGTGGGACATTAATGGCAAGTAATGTTATTGTCTAAAACACAAATACATGATCACATCATTTCCCATTTAAAATCTATTACCAACTCCCCCTACCTCAATCATAAAATAAAAATGATACCCAATATTTGACATTTGGTTTCTCTCTCCTATCCCTATCTCAAGTACTCTGTCGTCCAATTATATCAGACTGGTGAGTCTCCCAAATATGACATCTCATACCTTTCCATTTGTTGTTCCCATGGCTCACAGAGCCTTTAAACCCCTTTTCCATCTGGCAAATTTCCACTTTTAAGATTCAATTTAGTTACCTCCTCTAAGAAGTCTTCCTTAATCCCATCCCCCATTAGGCTACTTCATACCTTGGCTGGTTACTTCATACTTTTGAGTACGATAGTATCCAAACACACTGGATGATTCAAGTAAGTTAGCCCAGTAAGTATTTTCTCATTGTCTACAACTTCAGTGAAGCCATCAAGAATAATTCCAATAAGAAATATATTTCTAAACAAACTTAATTTTACCAAGCATAGGATGAATTACCAGGACACACAAAGTAAACCCAGGTGAAAAGGCAGAATACAAGATGAGCACTAATGGTGAGAATCCATCGTCAACGGTGTTGTTGCCAAGACTTGGTAGCAGATCAGACTTGAGATTGCCAAGGGTCAAATGACTTTCTGCATCAAACCTTATCAACATTGTGCTGCCATAATATACAGACTAAACATCTACACTCTTTTCCTATATTAAATATGTCTTCTATTAAAGATCTCAGATATGCTCCTCCGTCTCTGGAAAAGGCTGGAACATGAGTCTCTAAAAATGAATGCCAGTCTGTAGGGCAAGGCGAGTGGTGCAATTTCTTCTTAGCCTGACACATTTTGACATGTTCCCAATAAGAAGCAATGGGATTCATTGTTTAGTGACAGGAAGATAGAAACAACACTACTAGAAAGAGCATTATGCTATGAACCCTGGCTCTTCAGGATCGGCGAGGGAGAAATTTAGCCTAACCCAAATGTATTGGGCAGAGGATCCTTTAATTGCCTTAACTGTTAGATGGCCTGAGAGGTTAACAATAAATCAATAAACAACCCGAGTCGTGCTGCGTGAGGCTTCCTATATACCTTGGCTTGCCTTGTTTAGAAAAAAATTGGTTTTATTTGCTTAGGAAAGTCAAGGTGTTTTGAATGAAAAGCAATTTCAATCTCTGCTCTCAAAAACTTATGATAAAATGTAGATATTATCGGTTATCAGCCCTAGGAAATCCTAATCTATGTTTGCGAACGGAATTGAGAACAATATGAAAACAATTCCCATTAACTCTACAGCTCAACATTAAGGGGAGGGTTGGTTCTTATCTGATGAATTTGATCCATGGAAATTACTAAACCCAGTAAAACATTTGGAAATATCCCTGTCTGCTTTAGGGGATGATGACACAGAGTAATTCAGATATTGCCTATTATTATAATCCTCATGAGCCTGGTGGATGCAAACAGGATTGGTACTCCTACTGTCAAGATTGCAGTAAGAAATATCAATTTCTCAGGTACTGTGGTGTGCATATTACTATACAGACAACTGAGGGAGATGTTGAGGCACAAAGCTAAGGACTTTAATGCGCATTCTTGCAGAAGATGCTTAGAAACAAGCACTGACGTCACAGAATGTGTAGAAAATATTCAAGGCATTCTAGTGTGGGTGTGGCTGTGGGGAATTATTTTTCTTGCATCTTTCAAAGTGTAGTTCAGAAAGAATGAATTTTAGAAGCAGGGTTATGGAATACCACGGACAAAGGATGCTTCCTGGACATAAAGGGAAGTCACATTTTTTTCTCCTCTGATGGAGCTTACCTCTTACGGCTCAGTGCAATCTGAAGAAGCAGCAAAAAATGGAGGCATGACAGAATGGATAGGGATGGATTCACATCACAGAGACAGACAGCACAAATGGAGAAAAATGAATCGGAAGAATGCTGCATGGCTGAAAAGAACCACAGAGTATCAGAGGCATCGTTACGAGTGAACATCCAAACATTTGACACCACAGAGAATTTTGCTGATGATCCTGAAAGAAAACTAGGCATAGTTCACTTTCTTCTTTCTTATTAGCATCTCTGTCAGACCGCCTTGTTACGACCCACTAGGCCATAGGACGGCTTCTACCCATTCCATCACAACTTCATAGGTTCCAGGCAAGAAAGAATCAATTTTAACTGGGAAGATAAAATATTAGGCAGAACCATATGGAATGTCTAAGATTGAAGGTCAAACATCATCAAATACTGCCCTAGCCAGTTTGGCTCAGTGGATAGAGCGTCGGCCTGCGGACCGAAGGGGCCTGGGTTCAATTCCGGTCAAGGGCACGTACCTCAGTTGCAGGCTCCTCCCAGGCCCTGGTTGGGGCTCCTGCCGGAGGCAACCAATTGATATGTTTCTCTCACATCCATATTTCTCTGTCTTTCCCTCTCTCTTCTACTCTCTCTAAAAATTAATGGAAAAATATCCTCAGGTGAGGATTAAAAACAAAAAATCATCAAATACTGACAATTTCAGGTGATTCAATCTTATATAAGATGTTCCTGCAAGGACGAGAGAGTAGTCTAGTTAAAACGACAAAATGTCGTGTCATTATGCACCTTGGATTTCTCTAACAGTCCACAACTAGAAAACTTCCATTGCCAGGCTACTTTCCCTTGACTTTGTCACTTTTTCCCCCTGCATTTTATAAGATCATTATGCATATTGAATGTTTTCTTTATGAAAGTGAAGCAGAGAATTGGAATACTAATTCAAACAGCTGCGCTTTATTTTGCCTGGGGACCTATAAAATACTGTTACCACGAGCCGATGGTTAACTGAAGATTATAATTGCATACATTTCTTTCCCTGGAGGACTCTATCTAAACTTAATATGTGAGGAGAAACCCTGACCGATCCTGAGAACTCATATAACAACACTGAACAGGAACTAACTTTTCAAAGAATGAATATTTTATGTTGACCCCTGGAGAATTACATAATTTTTTTCTTATTGCCCTACCAAAATATATAAAGCTCTTGCTGGTGCAGGATACCTATTTATTGAAAACCGGTGGGAATAAGCAGTTGTTGTCGGTTGCTCTGTGCATTGGAACAGAGTTTGCTGGAGGCATGTGCTTGAGAGCCAGTGTTTATGACTGTATTGAGTTCTCTGCCTGGCTGAGATCGTTAATGACAGGCCGCCCCTGCTCTGCCATTTCTACAGTAGCTCCAGGCACCTGAGATGATTCCGTTGTCAGGCTACCGGCAGATATTGCTATTCAGTACACAGTCTGGATGGCTGGTCATTTTAACACTTACTCAGATCATGCAAATATTTTGGGTAAGTATTTTAAAAACCAAGTGAGGACTTCTGTTTTGGACAATATGATGGATTAGGTGTGAAGACAAACTTCTGATTTAGACACTTAAAATACTGGATAAAATATCAAAAGAAGTTCTTCATTTTATTTTTGCTTTAGTTTTTAACGTGAGATATTAGACCAGTGACGAGTAGAAATGATAAGAAAGTAGAATTCTGGCATGAGGTGGGGGGAAGGGGTGTGAGCTAGTGTAGGAATATTTATTGCAAGGGTTTCTGAGAGACCAGAGCGTGGGTTTTCAATGGGCCACAAGTTAGATGTCT